GGTGGTATAATTTAAAACACGAATATTAGTATTCAATGTTCAAACGGCCTTGACCTCAATCGAAGTCAATATTTAACATCATACTTGTCGATTCGACATCATAACATTAAATCATATTTTACACAACATCGCCAAAATATTTATACACATATTTCAAAACCATAGCGTACAACATAACAACGGATTATTCTAGAATATTGTTATTATCTAAATAACGTTGATGAAGAACAACTACACGGTGCACGTTGGTAACACTGAACGGGTTGCCAACTGATGGTAGACCGTAAAAATAAACAGACAGTATCCGTTATTTGAGATTGAGATTCTTTGATATTGATTTTTTTTCTTTATAAATAACTTTGCCCCACACTAGGATTTTCCCTTGTGTCGTGGGTGCGTTTAAAAACATACAATTTTGCACACAAATGATACCCAGACCCGAAACAACAATTTGATGAAAGAAAGAGTTTTATCGTAAGGGAATCGAATTCGCGTCACGTTGCGCTTCAGCCGATTGCTCAGACTACGCGCCAAACAGCAGTCCGATCCTGCAGATCGACCAGAATCATACCACGGCGTCACAGAAAATCCGGCGCGGAACAACGATAACGTTGTTGTCGTTTCGCTGTGTGAGTGAGGTTACCATTACTCCAATCCTTAAATATATGAAACTAATCCCCAACAGGGCGGCAACGCACTGGTAACTTCGTTGTGGCTGTCCATGAGCGGAGCCGATTGCTTACCATCCGTATGCTCGTTTGCCGACCTATTTCATAAACAAATCGTCTAAATAAATACCTTTATAAGAATGATAAAATGATTTCAAAAACTAGCGGTCCCTATCTAACATTATGTATTATTACACATACATATTTTATTTCTACTTTGTGCTATGTGAAAAAATGTTCTGGCCCATAGGTTGAGGCATCAGCCCCTCTAGCCAAGTTCACATAGGTATTGATAATCGTTATCGCTTTAGAAAATGTATGGAGTATCGGAAGCTCATCGATAATTCAAATGGCCTACAAATTAATTCCCGTTCATTTGTTTCGTTTTTAAAACGTTAGTAATTATTAATTGTGAACTTAGTTAGGAAGCTTGGCCAGCCGCCGGGCATGGGAACCCGCGGGTCCATTGTAATTTGTAATCTGAATTTTGCCCAGTTATTTGTTGGTACTTTTTACGTTTATTTAGACACTAGGTTTTGCCCGCGACTCTGTTCGCGTGGTATAGTGACTTACTGCAGATTTTTGGTATAAAAACTATCCTATGTCCTTTCTCGAGTTCCAAACTATGTCTGAACCAAATTTCACAGAAATCGGTTCAGTAGGAAGAAAAGACAGACAGAGTTACTTTCGCATTTATAGGTAATATTAGTTTGGATAAGTAGGATTTTGTCGATTGATTTTAGTGAAATTATATGTTACACGCTCAACAACTTACGACCTTTATACGAAAAAAAATGACTCAACGCTTTGACTATTTCACGCTTTATTTTTATATCGATTTCCCGTCAACCTTTGTTACTGAAACAGACCCGATATACTTCAAACAGTTTTGTCGGAAAGAATACTTTAACGTGTATGAAAAGAGTTCCTTTTACATAAAAACATAGGTAATCTATAATATTATTTTGGTTTTTGCTTTTGAACACAGTAAAAGAATTGTGTCATAATTTTGCCATAAATTCCTTATTTTAGGTGTCACATTCTCGGTGTGTTTTTGAAGGGCGAAAATCATACGATGTTTTTTACCGGTTTAGGTGGTGCGGGAAGAAGTGTCAGATTCTTGTTGTCTAAAAGCCATCCAGCTTCGGGAACATTATGGCGCTTACACGCTCAACCCTGGGCAGTACCGAGCTTGCATTAGTTTAAAAGTTTTATAGAATCTTCCGGACGAGAAACAGGGATGGAGCTATAAAAGTTGTATAGGTCCATCTCTCTTTCTCGCCCGGGTAACTGACGCATGGTAGGCCTACCGAACTAGCATGTTTACTTAATATTGAGTGGTACTATTTTTTGTAGGTCTAGTTTGTGTTTGTATTTTTTAATGTTATTTAGGGTTTTTTTTGTTATTATTCTCTTCGTATTTGATTTAGAGCACCTTCACTGACGAACAGACTGTCAGACCACTATACTATTTTGACGTTTCAAAAGTACCTATTCATGGTTTAGTTGGAATAAGTGGTTATGATTTGATTTGGCAGTCCAGTCAATTTTAATTACAAAAACATTCTATCTTTAATATTTACTAATGCTTAAAACAAAAACTTGTAACATGAACAAACTAATTAAATAATTCGTATTTGTCCAAAATTGTTTCATAAAGTCTTAACAAAAATGTTTCATTTTAGGTACTTATGTGTTATTACCCCTACCACAATTTCTTGAGAAGCTTATATGAAACAAAGTCACGTTCGGTACGTCATACCTACATATATTAACTTATAAAACAAGTTATGTACCTCCCAAGTTACACGAAGCAAAAGGCTTTGGCACTTATCATATGTGTTAGGCCCCGCTATATCAGAACCGACTAAATGATGTAACAAAGAAATGAATTGTAAAACTGATTGACAAAGAGTAACCATGGAGTTTCTTGCTAGTTCTTCTCCATAGGAATCTACACTTTGGAACGAGCAAATAGCTTAAATAGAGGACAGACGGACAGACGGACACACTGACACGCTTAATGTTAAAGCTCTTGAAATACTTTTTTTCTTTTTTTTGCTTGACGTTCAAAAGTGCCTGCTATGGTCTAATTGAAATAAATCATTTTGACTTTTGACGTTTTTTGACCGAGACCTCGGCCCGGAGCAGGAGAAGGGATGGAGTGGTTTTTAGTAGGAGACTAACATTCCCTCTCTTCTCAAAGTCATTTGATGACTTTCCCCCATCAACATAAGCTACTTATTATATCAACACCAGTTTCTCCGTATGGTGTTGTCTGCAGCACGAAGGTTAAAAGTAGCCTCTGTATTATTCTAAACTAGACACTTATCTATCTTTGTACCGAATTACATTTACTTAGACTCGTTCAGTGGTTTTTACGTAAATGAGCAACAAACATTCATTTATATGTACATACTTACAAACTTTCGGGTTTATAATGCCTACTAGCTTCTGTCGCGCGGTCTCACTCGCTGCTCAGCTCCTACAAATCTTAGCGTGATGTTTTAGCCTTTCTAGATATTTGGAGTAACAATCACAAAAGGAATTATTAAATTCGAACCAGTTATTCTGGAGATTAGCGCGTTTAAACAAATAAATAAATTCGCCAGCTTTATAATATTAGTATAGATTAGTTGGAATACATTAATTATTCGGCACGGAATGTTTAGCCGGGGTTTCGGGGCAAGCGCAATAAGATATCACAGCCTCGGCGTAGAACAAAAAAAGAACAGGGCGGATTTTAGTTAGAAAGAGTCTGACACTCCCTCTCACCTTACCCTGGGCGATAGAAATCATCATCATCATCATCATCATCGGCCTATAAGTGCCCACTGCTGAGCAAAGGCCTCTTCTCACACGTAGAAGGTTTGAACATTAATCACCGCGCTTGCTCAATGCGGGTTGGCGATTTCAAAGTTATAATTAGAAATTATAAGTCCAGGTTTCCTCACGATGTTTACCTTCACCGTATGTCACATTGGTAACTGCCAGGTTTCGAACCCACACACTCATGCATGAGAAGCGGGCGCCTTAACCTCCGGGTCACCACCTCATTCCATGATTTTCCCTTAAAAAAATAATATTTTTTCTACATTACAAAGGTGTTGAAAAAACATTCAGTTTTCAGCTCCATTATTCCATTATAGAAATGTAGCTGGATTTTTTTACGATCACGCCCATCCACAGTAACTTGTGTGATGTGTGTACTCTGCAAACTTTGTCCGGAATTTCGGAACCATCAATTTTGTAACGTCGGTGGGATGAGGCGCACGTAAATTGGAACTACGAGTAAATTCAGTTTGATACTGCTTTCACATTTAGGTACTGGCAAAAAAACTACCTATCTCTGTGAGGTCTATTGGAATTGAGTTTTTTGACGTGTGACATTTTGGCTTTTGTTTTATGGCTTAACTACATTGTTTCATTGATTTAGGGCTGATTTTTCAATAGCCAGAGAAATGTTATCTGAGAAATAAAATTGTTGCTGTCACTGTCTTATGCAAACATTCTGACGCGACAGCATCATAATTTTTCCCCAGATAACTTTTATCTAACAATTGAAAATCAACCCTAAATAGTTTACAAGATACGGTCCATAATTTTTCCTTAACTGCTTTTTATTTCGAATGCAATTATTGTTTCTATATTCTTGGGAGCGTGAATCGTCAATGCGTTAGTGCGGGTGGTAACTTTTTGGAAGAAGAAGGCATTTGATGATGACGATGAGACTCTTAACTGACTAAAAACCACCCCGTGACTCCTCACCCGAACCGCGGTACTGTATTCAACTTGTACCCGTAACCCTAGGCAATTATTATGGTTGAATGCCCAACACAGTTGCTTTACATTAATTATTACTTTAGTAAGTAAAACAGAATTTAAAATGACTATATTTGAGCCGTCATCATCATTAGTCTATAAGTACGCACTACTGAGCAAAGGCCTGGAAAAATGTTTGAGTATTAATCACCACGCTTTCTCAAGGCGGATTAGCTTTTTGAAACTTATAAGTAGAAATTATAAGTCCAGGTTTCCTCACGATGATTTTCTTTGCCGTTTGTCAGTGGTGTTTAAATAATCATAGAAAGTACATACAACATGGAAAAAAGTCACATTGGTACTTGCCAGGTTTCGAACCCGCAGCATCAATCATACATGAGAAGCGAGTGTGTTAACCTCTGTGCCATCACGACGTTAGTTATATTTGAGCAACGAATGGCAACATTTTGGTCGTGGTTGAGATCCGGTTGCCACCTGCTAGTTCGATAAATAACAGAACAAATATGATTTGACTATGTTTTCAAAACTTGTTTTTTTCTATTGTTCCAGGTGTTGTTGCATGGTGGGGGTAAGGAGAAGGTGCAGTCATGGGAGACAGTTTCTTGCACCTGGGGGACATTGTCTCCCTGCACGCGGAGGGCACTGTATCAGGATTCCTCAGTACCTTAGGGTAAGCTTTCATATATTTACTAATGACCTGATGACTGAAATCAATTGCCAGATCTGATTGCTCCAGTTTATGCTAATCCTATTTATGTTCAATTAGGAGGATTTAGTATTTTAGAAAAAAGGGAAAGGATAAGAGTTATGCTGTGTAAGTATACAGTGTTGTCGTTCGCCGCGTGAGTGAGGTTACTGCCCCCCCCCCTCCCCCCAATCCCAAAATCTCCAAATGCCTAATCCCTAAAACGTCGGCAACGCACACGTAACTCCACCGTTGTTGCGGGTGTCCCTGGGCGGCGCTGATTGTTTACCAACAGGTAATCCAGAAGCTCTTTTGCCGATCCATTACATAAAAAAACTCTTTTCGCTTATAAAACCAACGGTTATTTCTTACGCGGGTGTAAAGCTTAATGTCGACAGACTTAACACTGACAAGACTATACTTTCACTAAAAACCTCGGCGGCAAGCCTATCAGTAATTTCTCATAATACGTAGAAGAAAGAAGAAGAAGAAAGAAAGAAAAAACATTTATATAGACTCGCACAGGACTACAACAGTAAAAAAAAATAAAAATAACTACTCAATCTATATCAAACTTACAATATTCTAACTTACAACAAAACAAAAACAGAAAACTAAAATTAACACAACTGCTCTGTGCGAGGCCAAAAAGGCTCCTATCTACGCATATGCTGCGATATTAAACATGTGTAAAATAACGCAGCGCTGGTATTCTGATAGGGCCTGGTGATGCCTACCTACTTATTTTAAAGAAAATACCTCTTTATAAGCGCGGCTAAATGATGTAGCCCACTGACTTGATACGCTCGCTCGCGTCACGCGCCGGGAAAGCTATGCTTGGGTAGGTATGAATAGGCCGCCTCAACCGGAGTGATACATAGGCCTTACAGAAACCAGTGTTATGTTTCGTCGTGTGATTGAGGTCACCGAAGGCCCATTGCCAAGGGAGGTACCCCAATCTTTAACACCTAAAAGACCAGAAACGTACTCGACATTTTGCGGGTGTCCATAGGCGGTGCGGTTGCTTTTCTTCCGGTGAACAGATTCACTGGCTCATAAAAACTAGCTGATAAGTCCAGTCGCTTAGTGTTCTGTCGGTGAAGAAGTTTTGGTGTCTAGTCCATAGGCGCACTGTCACCGTTTAGTTGTACAGTGGTAGCCAACACTACAGTTACTTGATAGATTAATATTTTTTTTTCATAGGCAAACGAGCGAACATTTTCCCTGATAGTAAGCAATCAGGACCGTTCATGAACAACGGAGAAGTTTCGAGTGCGTTGCCTGACCTTTTGGGGATTAGGGTTTGGGAGATTTAGGAATTGGGGGAGAGGTATGATTGGGGTAACCTCACTCACACGGCTTAACACAATGCTGTGGTTGCATCACGGTTTTTTGTGAGGCCGTGGTATCACTCCGCTGAGCCAACCCAATCGTACCAAAGCATGGCTCTCCCACACTTAAGCTTTTTAATAAAGAACCTGTATTTACACCAACCCACCCTCCCTCTTTTATACAAGGATACAATATTGCACATTGAATTCCAGAGGATATTTGTAGGAACATATACTGTCTTGTCCAAGTCAAGAATCGAAAAAAGGCAAATACCAGAGACAGAAATTGCCGCATTATTCCATTTCCACCTGTCAATACCGGCTCAACCCAAAAATACTAATGATATTTTAACAATACAGGTGAAATCAACCTTTTCTTTTATGATAAACTTGTAAATAAGACTTTACTACATCGTAATAAAGAAGCTTTCTTGATATTATGTGAAGTAGATGTGCCTTTTCAACAGCAAGGATACTAAATACGCAATGTAATGGTTCAAAGAATTGCCTTCGCACATAATAGAAATACGCACAAGAAAATCAATTGTGCGTATGTATAAATGTATTCCTTCAATTATGTTTGCTACTTGGTGAGCTTTAATAATCATCAGCCACTTTATGGGACTTGGAGCTTGTCATCATCACCTCAATTCAAAAGTTTCGACATGGCCCTCTCCCTCAATGGACTTAAACAAAAATCCGACTCATATCTTAAAGTTTTGTATTTATTACAAAAAAAAAAAATACAGAGTTTAGTATCAAAATGGAAAAGTAACTTAAGTAATATTCTAGTGGCGTCATAAATTAGTAACAAAAAGTTAAAGGTAAAAGGTTTGATGAAAAAACTGTTTTTTTTTTATAAACTACATTAAAAGCAAGAAAGAAGATAATATTTTAATTATTATGTTTTCGGCTTACTCACGTAATAATTTGACGAGATACTCGACTAGTTTCAAGCCATGCTAGAGGCCCATATTCATGAGCAGCATTCCGCGACACGCGGCGCGGCGACTGTCGTGCTGTTACTGATGAATGAAGATAATATTTACTATGACATAATTATGTTATACCAAACCTCTAGCATGTTTTTTGTGCTTGAAGGAAACATCATATCTATGGATATTACGTTCATGATTTTGTGGATAATTTATGTGGTTGAATACGCGGTGAGGAACATACAGCTCAGTGACATGACATTGGAGAGCCGGATGTATAGTAATGGACGAAAATGGGCTGATGATGATGACAACTTAAACGAAATACCCTATGCGTTATTCCAGACTAGTCTATCTTTTTGTAAATATTGATACAAGGGCTGATTTTTGTAAAAGGAATCTGTATGTGAAACTGATTTGAAAAGAGTAACCATGGAGTTTCTTGCTCGTACTTCTCCATCGGAATCTACACTTTGAAACGAGCAAATAGCTTCACTAAGAGGACTGACCGACAGACTGACACTATATGCCGGCTTCATCTAGTTTTTCACATATAATTTGACGTGTAAAAGTGCCGTTTTATGGCCTATTTGCAAAAATAAATTCATTGTTTCATTGTTTATATATTCAAAATTTTGTTTGACGTTCAAAAGTGCCTGTAAAGGTCTAATTGGAATAAATGATTTTTGACTTTTGACTTTGACTTCAATGGTTAGATTAAAGTTATCTGGGGAATAATTATGATGCTGTCGCGTCAGAATGTTTGTATAAGACAATGACAGCAACAATTTTATTCCTCAGATAACATTTATCTGACGATAGAAAAATCAGCCTCAACTACAGTAGTTTTTGTAATAGACATCCATCCATACTTACAAACTTTCATAATATAATATTAGCAGGATATTCCATAGATATTTCTAACACATCCACTGCAAAGTTTCCGATGTTATTAAACAGAACTCAAGACACTTGTACAAAAAGTTTGAAACAAACTTGTCTATGTTTACCTAAATCAAGGGAAAGTTAAAAAGTTGGGCGTGCAAAGAAACGCCAGTCCCATGGCTACTGGCTCTCAAAGTTTTTGAAAACTTTTAGATTCATCACCTGCTCCCGACTTAGTGTTTTTATACGCGATATCTCGAGGGCTTTTTTGAGGTTGTAATATCACACATTGACTACTCTCGTCCTGGGCGGGTCTAGAGAGAATGTCAGTTAATTCTCTAGAAATATATCAATGTTAAAAAAAATTGGTTCAATTTTGAAAAAAATGGTTCTCCTCCAATTTTATTATGAGATACGCTAAGTGTGAGCGTGTGTACGACTGAAGACCTGAGTGATACCACGGCCTCACAGAAAACTGGCCATATGACATAACCAAAAAAATGTGTTTCGCATTCTGAGTGAGGTTACCGTAGGCCCAATCCTTCCCCTACCCCAATCCGTTCCCTTTCTCAAAATCTCCAAATCCCTAATCTCCAAAAGATCAAAAAGATCGACAACGCACTCGTAACTCCTCCGTCGTTGCGGGGGTGTCCATTGGCGACGCTGATTGCTTACTATCAGGTAATCCGCTTGCGCGTTTGCCGACCTATCACATAAAAAAAGGAGTAGGGTAGAACCGGGTAATACCGGTCAGGAGGTATTACCGGTCAATCTAAAATCTCAAAAACTACTGTGTTTCGGCGCAAGTACACATACACAGCGAGTGGTGTGATGTCGCCGAGCGACAACGCCCCGGTCCCCGCTTAATTCCGCAGGCGACTTCTTGGGTGAATTCACGTCGTTTGTTTTCGCGCCTAGTTGATGTAAATTTTCGGGATAAAACGATAACAGGTGAGTGTTTATAATTTCACGTTTTTTACACTGTTACCTAGGATTGTTGCACCATAATTACTTAGCATTCTGAGTGATAATCGTTTTTTAACTTATTTGGTCAGGTTTAATATCTAGAAGTTTTTTTATGAAGATGTTGCGAGTCGGGCAATGCCGGTCATGCTGACCGGTATTAACCACAAGTAAAATTGGTAAACACGGGTATAATTTATTTTACTATTAATGTTTTTTTATTATTTTAGGATGGCTAAAAGAAGAAGCCAATCCAATTCAAAGGCGTCGTGGAGCCAAGAGCAACTAAACAGGGACAAATAATGAAACAACTACATTATGACAACCTCGTTCCTTCTATTTCCAGCATTGGTTAACCTGTCACTGTTAAGGATCTTTTGCCACTACGAAATAAGTCGAGGGACAAGAAAAAAACATACGATCTCGCAAACAGTATTAACAGAAACTCCTAACAAAGAAGCTTTAGTCGAGAAAGAAAACAGAAAAATTACAAAGGAGAAGAAAAAGCCAATTCTTAAAATAAAAACCGAAAAAACGACTGATAAAAGAAAAGGAAAATCAATGGAAGTGAAAAAAGCTAAAAAGATAGTGCTAAAGTGCTCCAAGATATAAACAAATGAAATGAGAGGACGTCGGACTCAGAAGTAGAAATGACAGACCTGCATAAAGACGAAGACACCGATGCTGACGAAGATTATGAAAAGAAATGTTTAATTTGCGATGATTATGGACGTGATAACGAGCTCTGGTATAGATGTGTGCTGTGTGGTGTCTGGGCACACTCTGAGTGCTCTGGTTATGACTCTCCTGAGGGTTACATTTGCGACTCATGCCTGAACAAAGCTTGACCGGCATTAGCAACCTACTGACTGGTTTTACCTGCCGATGTGTCTAATACCAGACAAACTCGATTTTTTTTAAATGCTTATTGTGCTAAATTTGTTTAAATTATTGATCTGAATTAATGTGATTTTGATAGAAGAATACCTATAGTTTGATTGTTAAAAGGTTTAAGAAAAAAATTTTTATAATTATTTGATTTGTGATCATTTTGCCTTAAGTGACCGGTAATACCCATTCTTACCCTATAATTATTACCGGAGTTTGAGTTTCTCGAATGGTATAACCTGGGTGTCTTCAAGACCCGAGTGAATTGGTTGCTTATGGGTTTGTTGCACAAGGCCTGATACCGGCCCCTATCACTACATATGTGGAATTTTAAGTTTTATCACAATCTTAAAATATTTAACTACGTGTTAACGTAAAAATATTTCATAAACTACTTAATTAGACCTTGAATTAAATATATTTGCGTATCAGTACCAAGTTTCATTTAAATCGTATCAGTATTCCATGGTTTTGGACTCGAAAGACTGTGTGAAAACCAGTGCCTCGTAAAGACTCTTAATAATATGTATAATTTTATAGTAAAATAAAAATAAATTAATATTATGTACATTTAGTCGGTATTTGATGCTAAATCTGCATCAAGTTAGGAACCAGTTGCTGCAGCTAAGGTCAAGGTTGATCACTAAAAAACAAATCAATACCTATTTTGTGATCTCAAATATTTATTGTGGTCAAGTTTCTAACGGTTCCGCTTGTTCGGACAAAAATAAAGAATGATCTTTTATTTAAATGCCACGGGATATCTTTTACGATTATATAACTGATGTACATAATCAGTTTTGCAAAAATTCTATACTTATTGGCCGTCAGTCTATAAGTGCCCACTGCTGAGCAAAGACCCCTTCCCACACAGAGGAAGTTTGAGCATTAATTACCTTGCTCAAGGCGGATTCACGATTTCAAACTTATAAGAAGTCTATGTTTTCCTTCATCGTATTTTTTATGGGACAAGCCCGCCGTAACTTCCTTAAACCGCTGCTGCAACTCCTATAAGCCATCTACAGTAGATACAACCATGAAAACACCGGAACACTGAAGTCCGGTGCGTCTTAGAGACATGAATGACTGTCTTGGATCCCGCAACGAAAGAAATCAGAAGTTATATTACTATTGATAATATAACTTCTACTATATTATTTGAGGAGATGAAAAAAATAAATTAGGCTGTCCTTCACCGTATGTCTAAATAATTATATGCATATTATGATTGAAAACAACACAACTAGGTTTTGCAGGTCGCTTCGCTTACCATCAGGTGGTCCGTCTGCTCATATCGCAAAATTGTTGTCCAAGAGACTTGTGCAAAACCTAGTACTCGTAATATAAAATTAATACTACTGTCTTATTGATTATTCGAATTCTTTTCATAAAGTTTTTCTGTTGTGTCGATATAGTAAATTGAGATTTCTATTTTAATCTTATGAAAAACCACATGTGTTGTTTGCCTGTGTGTCTGGAAAAACCTGGACTGGCAAATGAGGATTGTGTTAAATAATTTTAAACATTATCGTGCTACCGAATGCACTAAAATAATAATTAAAATAAGAATTCCTGCACCCCTTTCAAACAAGTTTCATGTTACATAAGTTTCTGCTTGCTTGGGTATAAGGGGCCATGATGGCCCCTTATGATGGCCCGGCCATCGTAAACTCAGAGCTGTGCACGGCATACTGAGATGTACCCCTTGCTAGAAAGTATTTTTTGTTGTAAATGTTTGTTTTTTTCTATGTTCAATTTATGTAGGTACGTGTAGCAAAATAAATAATTTAAATGGGTTAAAAAACTGTGTTACTCCATGCCTTAAAATCTATCAGTTCATTTTACTTAAATAGAAGTGTTCCCACATACATACTGACATATACCTATATTACTCAAAACCTTTTACTAAAACTACTCAAAAACTTTTTTATCCAACTTATATTATAAACGCGAAAGTTTCTAAGTATGGATGGATGGTTGCATAAGCAACCATTCGTTCGCATAAGCGAACAACGGACGAGTTACGAGTGAGAGATTAGAGATATGGAGATTTAGGGATTGGGGAAGGTTTGGGCCTCCGGTAACCTTACTCACGCGGCGAGACACAACGCTGTGGTTGTTTCACGCCGGTTTTCTGTAAGGCCGTGGTATCACTCCCGTCAAGACGACCCATTCGTACCGAAGCAAGGCTCTCCCACACTTAATAGTATAAATCAAGTTGCATTCTGTGTCCCTATATCCCTATGTATGCTCAAATCTTTAAAACATGGCAACTGATTTAGATTTGGTTTTTTTTTTAAGATTTAATAGTGATTTAATGGGATGGTATATGTATATAATAATATCCATTTAGTAGCGTTTAGTATCAGCATTACACCCGTGCGAACCCGGTCGCTAGTAACACTATAATCGGCTAGATTTTCTGTGAAGAACTAGAGCGTTACAATACCATTGTGCTTGGAACCGCAAAACCGGATCCGGGATTTGACCCGGAAGAGAAACAGATGCGGTTACAACAGTAAACCGGTGTTCAATTTGCACTGAACCCTTTGTTTTACTACCAAGAAAGGCTTGTTTAAGAATCCATGCCAGACATCCCGTCTGGCTTGGCTTTTCACAATTCGTTCATTTTGTATTTGCCATACAGGGTGATTTTTTATGATAAAACGCGGGATCTATTTTTAAAAGTAGTTTAATGGAGTTGCTGACTTTTTATTTAAAACTTTAATATGTCTGTATATTATGATTGATACATGTGCTATTGTTCACAGGTTGGTAGATGACAGGTGTGTGGTTTGCCCGGAAGCGGGGGACCTGACTGATCCGCCCAAAAAGTTCCGGGGTAAGTAAAGTTTGTACCTTTGTTTCTTTGTACGCGCTATCTCCGAAACTGCTGGCTCGAATTGAACAAAAAAAATATTTCGAGTGCAGGGTTTATAGATTGGCGTAGGTAACTGCTGTGTGACGTGTTGATCGTTCAAATCCTGCACTTTGTGGATCACACTAGTGTAACCTAATAGTGTAAACAACACTAATAGTGTAAATGTGTTTATTGTTTACGTCGTTCGGGGTTTTACACAAACTTTCAAATATTAAACTTTTAATATTTAATCGAGCAGTTATTCGCGAATTTATGTTTAAAAGTAAGTCTCATTTATTAAAAGACAACCAGACTTTTGCCTACCTATTAGGCAGGTAGGATAAAATTGATTTCATCTTACACTCATTGCATTAGAAAAAAAAATATCGCTAACAAACGGGATTAATAGGTATATGCATTATCAAAATCACTAAATGAATTCAAACAGATAATAAGTTTTTTTTTTGTTTTTTTTTTTGAAAAACGTTGCCCCACACTAGGATTTTCTTCTGTGTCGTGAGTGCGTTTACAAACATACAATTTCACATACACATGACACCCAGACCCGAAACAACAAATTGTGGATCACACAAAGTGTTGTTCCGTGCGGGAATCGAACCCGCGACACGTCGCACGGCAGCCAGTTGCCCAGCCACCGCGCCAACCGTGCAGTCAAGTAATTTTATTACACAGACAATACAATTCATATTATAAATACCGTAATTATAATGCCTACCTACGTCATTATGTTTTTGTCGCACTCAGGATTAACATGGATATGCAGCTTGTTGAAACAAGGGTTTATCCCCGTTGTCATGTTTAGGCGTTCAGAATTAAATTAGGGTGGTATGTCTTCAGCATTATTTAGTGTTGCTTCATAAGTTTGTTTATTATTCAGCAAAATATTGGATCAATATAGACACGTCTCTCTATATTTTAAGTCATCCTTTACCAAATGGCCACTGCCGAGCAAAAAAAAAATTTTAGTAATCTTAGAAATAACTAACTTATAACTCTATTTTTCTTAATCTGTTTGCAAAGGTCTCTTCTATCCTATTATATTTCAGGTCTATCAATCCACTCTGTTTAACTTCTCTTATATCACTGAAGGCATCCAAGTGACAAGAATATCTGTCTTAGGTTCCGTATCGAAATAAAACAGAAAATATAATCAGACAAAGCACAAAGGGGGTCCGCCTTTATTTTTATTATCAGAAACGCTGCGATGTGGATTTTTTTGGATTGTAGGTCGCGTCATTGCATACCACCAGGTTTGATAGAGGCCTTTTGCCTGCCATCAATATCTCAAAGCATATAAACCTCTTAATTCATCTGACTCCAAGCGAACGACCATGTTCGCGCTCCTATTGTGTCTCTGATTACCGCTATTGAGAGGTTAATATCCCCGAAAGGGTGTTCCCTAAGCCCCATTACTGGCACAATGTACCGCTTTATGTATCGCCCAGGGTTATATGTATAAGTAGGTTTTTGGCATCATACCGAACATTAGCTAAGGTTTATATTGTTTATGGTTATGTGGAGGTGATTAAGGATGTCGCACGTTGGAAGGAATTTGCTTTTTAAAAGGTTGTAAGATGTTTGTAACATTCTTATTTTGTGTGTATTGATTGCCGAGTTACGGACGAATTTTAGTTAATCAACAAAATAATGGTTTCTGTTAATCCACATTTAGGCTTTTTTAAAACTCCACAATAGGTTTAAGTACTTGTGCCAGGCACTTTTTTCATAATGTAGGATTAACATCGCGCAATCGCTTGTCACTTAGCAACTTGAGCAATATTGACTCTTAGCAACCCGCTGCCGCGCAACGTATAGCGGCTTCGATTCCCGCACGGAACACACTCTTTGTGTGATCTACAATGGTGGCAATTTTATAACACGAGACAGGAATAACACTTATCGATTCTTCACCAAGATAGATAAAGTTTTTGTATGCCATTTTAATAGTGTTATTAATAGTGTTACCCATAGCTTAATATCGCCTATACATTTTCAGATTGCCTGTTCAAAATATGCCCTATGAACCGTTACTCCGCTCAGAAGCAGTTCTGGAATACAGCCAAACAGTCCGCAAATTCAAACACCGACACAGGACTACTCAAGAGGTTGCATGTAAGTACAATAATTGATTTTAAAGTCGTATTTTTTTATTAGGGCAGTCCTGGATTTATAAATAGGCCGCATAGGCCGCGGCCTAGGGGCGGCAGCATCCTAGGGGCGGCAGATTTCAAAGCACGGTCACTCGATTTAAGAGGATAAAAGTCAAACACGTCCACTGATTTTCTCAAGGTAAAATAAGTACTTTAAATAAATCCCTTTAGAAACTCATTCTTATCGAAACCTATATTATCATAGTGATGAGTGATAGATGAGAGCAGCGCAGCGGGTGAAGGCGAACGGCGCGGCCGATAGTGTCTCAACGTAACAAACCCCGCTTCCCTTCCACCCTCGCCGAGCCGTCTGCGCGGTGCGCGCCCGATGCTCAACGCCCGCGCCAGTGTTCCGCGAAAGCGTCGATCGCAATATCCAATCTTCCTTAACTACCCAACTCAACGAAGAAATTTCTTACTGGAGGAACATTTTAAAGAGGGTTGTTGCTGTTATAAAAGTATAAGCTTCTAGAGGTCTCGCTTTTAGAGGAAGTAATGAAAAATTTGGTGACCAGCACAGTGGAAATTACATTACATTACCTATGCTTCTAGAATTAATAGCAGAGTTTGACCCATTACTAACCAAACACATTGAAAGATATGCAAACCAGGGATCTGGAACAACTAGCTACCTTTCGAAAACTGGCTGAAAAAGTACTAAAATACATCAGTGATGAGATAAAAAAAGCAAAGTATTTTTCTCTGATCGTGGATTCTACACCAGATAGCACATTTAGATCAGCTAACACTTGTGATTCGGTATGTTTTAGATAATGGAGAACCATGAGAGAGATTTATTAAATTCTTGCCTTCTGTGGGACACAAGGCTCAAGATATGTTTAATGCCATTACTATAGAGCTAGAAAAGTTAAACATTAACCTCGATGATTGTCGCGGTCAGTCTTATGATAATGTCTCTAACATGTCAGGGATTTACAATGGGTTACAAGCCAAAATTCAAGAACAAGCACAATTTGCTATGTTTGTCCCTTGTGCAGCTCATTCATTAAATTTGGTAGGAGCCTCGGCCGCTGAGTCTTGTACAGAGGCCTGCCACTTTTTTATGTTGTTAGAGGAGGTTTATACTTTCTTCGTGAAGTCAACTGAACGTTGGAAAAAATTAACGAATGAGATAGGAAGAGGAATAACACTTAAGAGAGTGAACCTCACTCCTTGGTCGTCTAGAACAGATGCCTGTAAAAGTCTAAAACATTCCTGGGTTGAAGTAATTACAGTTTTAAAAATGATTGAAAATGACAGTACAGAGAAACCGGTCCCGCGAAATGAGGCAAAGGGAATTCGCATCAAATTAGAAAAACTTGAAACTGCGTTCATGGTCTTATTTTGGAAAGGTTAAATAAAGTGAGCATTCAGATTCAGAGCTCATCTGTAGATTTATTGACGGTATCTGATCTCTATGGATCTCTAGTACCTAGAGTTTATAATAGCAGAACTAGAAAACTTTGACTATTTCGAAGAAAAAGCAATGGAGATGAGCACACTTAAGGAATACCAAGGTAAAATAAAAAGACAACCTAAAAGAAAAAAGATGACGGATGAAACAATGAATGAAGAACCTGAAATACCCACCAGCTCTATAGAGAGATAGAGATTATTTCAGAGTGAATACCTTTTTGGTCATCCTTGATAAACTGAAAGCTGAAATACAGAGAAGGCACAATGCTTACTTAAACTTTAAAGACAAATTTCATTTTTAACAAAAATTACTGAACCCTCAACACAAACAGTTACAGAAAAAGCCCAGTCTCTCGTAAAATATTATAACAATGATTTAGAGGACGATTTGATTCAAGAATGTTTGCATTTTCAAAGTCACATTTCCTCTGATAAAACTGCAGGGAGTGCAGTGAAGCCCGAATCAAACTCACTACTCAGTCTCTCAACTTTTTTGAGGAATCAAAGTCTGTCTAATGTATACTCTAACTTGGATATAGCTCTTCGCATTGCACTTTCCACTCCTGCTACAAATTGTTCTGGGGAAAGGAGTTTTTCCTGTTTAAAACGCGTAAAGAATTACCAAAGGTCTTCATTGTCTCAAGAAAAAAATTATTCTCTAGCTCTTCTCTACATAGAAGCCGAGATAATGAATACCATAAACTATGATGATATTATTAATGATTTTGCTATTAAAAAGGCCCGTAAAAAATGTATATCTTGATTTTTATTTCATTACGCTCCTTCTTAATGACTAATTCTAATTTTATTTAACTGTAAGGCCTTAAAACTAAAAATCCAAAATTATTATTTTAGAAAGGTACGTAAGTACATGGGGCGGCGGAAATAAAGTAGCCTACACTCATAAAAAACATAAATCCGGCACTGTATTAGGGGATAATCATCAAATGACCTTTCCCGCCCAGGGTCGGGCAGGAGGGAGTGTCAGGCTCTTACTGAATAAAAACGCTCCCGTTCCTTCTCCTGGCTGAACATCAGCCCTACAGGGCCCCGTCTGTGGTGATACTTATGTCGTGTGTGGCTGTTTCTCATGCGTGGCGGAGGGGATAGGTTTAAAACCTGGAATGTATAAGCCTTTAGCCAATCAAATACAATAAAAATAATTGCAAGTTAAAATAATCCGTAAGTTCTAATTCGTTTTATCTTCAAACGGCGGATTATATCGTAAAGTTTTATGACAAAGAAGTTACCATTAAAAGAAAATGGGTGAAATAAAAATACGAGGCTTCAGGTGTCTTGTTGCTACAGAAATATACACAAACTTCGCTGTATTCTGAACCACACGGGTAAAATAAGAACGAATCTTAATGTGTCTTGTTATGTCGTCACAGAAATATGCACATAACTACACCATTTATATTAGAAAACGGTTATCTAGGCATTAAAATGAGTTCTAATAGGGCTGATGTTCAGCCGGGGTTGCGGGGTAAGCGGAATAAAGTGCTCTGGCCTCAGACAAGAGAATGATCGGACGGCTATAGTCAGTATGAGTGTGACGCTCTCTCTCACCTTACCCTTTTTTTTTGGTGTTGGGTTGGAAAATCCTCATGGAGACCCACCGCCCTCGGGTAAGGGCGAAGGGTACTGTCGGACTCTTACTGACTAAAATCCAACCCGGTGTTCCTCCAATAACCCATGTGTCGGAGGGGCGGGTATCGCCGAAGCATTCGTCGCAACCCCCCGACGGGTATTGGCCCGCCAGATGGTAAGGCGGGCCCCGTCACCCACTGCGGCCGTCACCCCGACCGCAGGATGCCACTATGAGGCGCGCGCGGAACACTCGCTCCCGACCATAGTAGACACTACAGCCGGAAGCGAGAGATTTCCCGCAGCACCTATGGCTCTCTCGCCTTACCCTGGGCAAGTGAAATCATTTGATGATGTTCCCATCACAAAGGAGAGGGCCACCGGTTTTCGCCAGCTATGTCATGAGCTCATAAAATAATAATTGAAACTTTGATCACAAGTAGCCATAAAGTAAGGATAAAAATGCTCGTCCGTCCGTTTGTCGGTCAGTCCGTGTTTTTAAAAAAGAACGGGCATGGAATTCTATGTTGAAAACGGCGAATTTATGAGACCGACAGCAAAAATTTTTATCTGTGATGTATTGCCATTATTGTGATATTAAAAAATCTTAATATAGGTTAATGAGTTCCTTTTTCTATAACTATCCCCATTTACCTGTCATCAAATACTAAAATATGGTTATTGGATGACCTAATTATTCGGTGATTTCCTTTGAAATATGGACACTGACCGGCCGTTCTAATGAAGAAATACTTATAGATTCTATAGATATTTCAAAACATAGCGTCAATGATATCAGTACTAATGTCGGCAGAGGGAAAAAGAAACTAACATCCGTGATCACAGGCCATGGCAACACCTCTTGTGCATACTCCCATCCTGCATGGTGTCAAAGACCCATCAGTTAGTCAGAGTCAGTCAGCTCTTTGACACCCATTAGGGTCCAATGTTTAGCCAGGGTTGCGAGTGATTAGCAAGAGAACAAAAATGGTAGTTTTAGTAAGATTCCACTGTCTGGTTGATCTTCTGCCCTCAAAGAAAAGGCCAAATTACAGCAGTGGATTACCAGAGCTCCTGTGTTATGATGATTCTCAGTTCGTTACTTTTGTTTTATACGAAACGGCCGACTGCACGGTTGGTGCGGTGGCTGGGCAACTGGCTGCCGTGCAACGTGTCGCGGGTTCGATTCTCGCACGGAACAACTCTTTTTGTGATCCACAAATTGTTGTTCCGGGTCTGGGTGTCATGTGTATGTGAAATTGCATGTTTGTAACCGCACCCACGACACAGGAGAAAATCCTAATATGGGGAAACATTTAATAAAAAAAAGAAAGAAAGACCTTTAAACCGTCAAGAAACGTGCGTAGTCCTTTCTTATTTTCCTTTCAGCAACGTGCCTCTGACACCTCTTGCGTACCATCAGGTGACCGTCTGCTCCTTTGCCTCCTATTCCATAAAATAGTCTTGTAAAAAACTATGTAGTTTCAATATTTTATTTTTGATTGCAAATAAAACAAATGCCATAACCATTTATTTCACCTCAGTATAACTACTAAATCAATCCCGTTTGGAGAACCCACAAATTACAAACAATTCGTGACGTAATAAATTCAGAGATTACAACATCAAACAAGTATATAGTATCATTATGAAGATATATTACCTGTTTATAGTCGATTAGTCTTTATGTGCTATTTATTAGGGACTATAATCGTAAACATCTGTTTGTTGATTTATAACCAAAGGAATTATTGTTTTTTTTTATCGAAGTTGCTACTGCGTTGGTCGCGGCGGTCGAGCGCGGGACGTCATTTTGGTTAGGGATTTCAGAAATTAGGAATTTTGTCAGGATAACTACACGGTTTCTTTTTTCTTTCGTTTTAGTTCTGTGTAGTGTTTTTTTTATGTAATAGGTCAGCCAACGAGCAGACTGATTACCTGATGGTAAGCAATCAGCGTCGCCCATGGACACCCGCAATGGAGGAGTTACGAGTGCTTTGCCGACCTTTTAGGGATTAGGGTTTTGGAGATTCAGGCATTGGGGAGGGATAGGGGGAGGGGAAGGATTTGACCTCCGGTAACCTCACTCACACGGCGAAACACAACGCTGTGGTTGTTTCACGCCGGTTTTCTGTGAGGCGGTGGTATCACTCCGGTCGAGCCGACCCATTCGTGCCGAAGTATGGCTCTCCCACACTTAAATTCTTCTTTCAATTTAAATTGTAGATTGAACCTCACTAACTCTCTAAATACCCAATTCGTATTCTGAAATACCTATTACCCTGGAAGGTTTATTACCATAACTTAAGACGGTCTAATACAGGTAGGCCTGTAATATAAGGTACATATAATCCAGTTCTACGCTTCGTGGAGGTCATGGAAACCGAATAACCATCCAAGTACCCGGGTATACCCGCCCGTCCCGCACATAAATTACACCGTTCGACCTTATGTTCGTACCGAATTCAATGGAATTGTTTTACAAATTAAATTGTTATAGAAACTAGATTAAATTCTTTTATTGCTGACCTATTTATAAATTTAAAGTGTGGATTCTGGAATTAGGTCATTGACTTGTTCAACAATAAAATTCTCCTATAACTTTTCGATGTAATAAAATATAAAAAAATTAAAATCACACTTTAAAATTATTTCGTGGTATTCTTAATCTTTTAATTTTTAAAATAAATGGATAACTTATAATTAACAATATGTTTTTAACGGAAAAATTATGGATACCTGCATTTACTATTCGCAGACCCGCGCTTGCGGTGGCCAGAGATTGGTACATAGCGCTGCAATCTCCTAAAACCATAACAAGTGCTGTGAATCAGCATCTAGTAGATTCAACAACGAACGCCGAAATACTGAAGTCGTATTTTATACCACCGACGGAAAAAGAGGGTGTTATAAGTATGACGTGTCTGTCTGTCTGTTTGTCTGTCTGTGACATCCTAGAGCCTGAATGGCTGAAGCGATTTCAATTTAGTTTCGACGGAAAAAGAGGGTGTTATAAGTTTGACGTGTCTGTCTGTCTGTGGCATCCTAGAGCCTGAATGGTTGAAGCGATTTCAATTTAGTTTTTACGTATTGAAGGTGACTTATTGCAAGTGTTCTTTCTTAGACATGTTTGATGAAAATCGGTTGAGCCAGAAGTTATGGGTGTGTAAGTGGGGAAGGGTAACCGAAGGTCTGCGAGTGGTATCTAAATTAAGAAAGGAAATGTTAATGACTTAATCAAGAGTGCTCTGAGCAATATAAAATGATGTAAAATACCTATAAAAAGTATAAAATAAAATATTAAAAAACTCCCAGTAAAAACTAAGATCCCTTTAAAAAGTTAAGTAACTAAAATAAGTCGCGTTGGGGGACCGTAAAAATTGTACATACTTAATAGAAAATTGGAGCGGTCCCCCAACGCGATGTATTTTTTTTTATTTAGTTCTGTGGCCAATTAAGTTATACATATTTTGAACTGTATATTTATTGTTATCTCTTTCTCTCCCACAGCACGCTGCTGAGATAGAAAAAAAGCAAAATGAGTTGGAGAACAAGAAGCTACTGGGGACTGTCGTGCAGTACGGAAGCGTACTACAACTGCTGCACGTCAAGTCTAATAAATACCTTACCGTAAGTAATATCAACCTTATTGCTTTGGTAATAAAGACGTGTCACGTGCCCTATAACGTATCTGGAACTAATGATGGACTGAATTTTATATGTGTGTTGTCCAGCTAGTTATTAAAATTGTATTTCTGCATCTAAATTTATAGTTAAATTATTATTTTTTATTACAATATTTGTTTATATTCAAAAGGAGTCTTTGCAACTAAATTAGCTTGATATTAGAAATTAAGAATCACATGAAATGGAATGTAATTGTTTTGACCAATAGAACATCTTATTATTTAGGGAATAGGTCACAATGCAATACTGATATAGTTTTAACTTAGAAACATTATTATTTTTCTTATTATGATGATTGGTTTGCCGTTGCGCCGACAGATATTATAGGTAGTAGGGTAAGTCAGGGAGAGTTGCCTATAGTTTAAAAAAAAATCATTATTAATTATATATGTAAGGTACTAAATGAATAAATAAATAAAAATAATGTAAAATAGGCATCTCTCCCAGGCATGTGGGTGAGTTGCCTATAGATACCAGGGATAGATGCCCACAAATAATTAATACATAATCAGACATTACACGTTAGGCATTCCGCTGAATCTTCATGAAACTACATTTCGCATTGAACATACTGTAACCAGTCGCATTTCTTTTTAGTGGCGTGATAATATTCCCCACACACTACACAAATATCTCCAAGAATTTCGTATTTTAAAGATTTATCTTTTACTAGAGGAATGGCCTTTTCTAAGTCTTTTTCACTCCACGTAGCTCTATTAGAGCCAGAAGGTTTTCTTTTGTATTCATTAAGCATCTGAAAAGATAAAATATCATTAATATTTACTGGGCATCTAACCCTGAAACTTCATTGGGCATCTCTCCCAATCATTAGGGAGAGATGCCTATCGACTCTGAACATACCCGAAAGCACTTTCCATACAAAAAGGTGGATTAACAACAAAACAAGATCACATTATTAGGTTATAAAACAAAAAAATACTATTTACGAGAAGAATTAGGGGAAAAAAAATACTGCAAACTAACTCAAAGAATATATTATACCGATTTAATCAACTACACTTACCTTATTTTTGGAATTCACAACAAAATACCATTTTAAAATAATTATTGTCCGTATCAAAACTTTCACACTGACATTAGCTGTCAAATTGACATAATAAGGATGCGGACCGATTCACGTAATTTTCTAATTTTATTTTTTAAATTCAGTAGGCATCTATACCGTATAGGCGTCTCTCCCTGACTTACCCTAATTAGGTACATGTTAATAGTTATTATGTTATTATTATTACTGTAAAAGAGGCTCAATGATGTCACAGCTATGTATTTAGTTCTTAAGTATTTTTTGAAGAAAAAATAAAAGCAGTCATTATTCTTATTTTCAGGTTAATAAAAGACTGCCCGCGTTGCTGGAAAAGAACGCCATGCGTGTACACCTTGACGCCAACGGCAACGAGGGTTCTTGGTTTTACGTTATGCCCTTCTACAAATTGCGTTCCACAGGTAAAATAATAACTTCATTATATGTACATATACTAGGTACTAGTTGTCCTAGCGAACTCCATACTATCTATTAAATAACATTCGTTTTCTGACTATGACCCTTTATAAAATCCGCTAGTGGTTAGCCTTAGCGGATGAAAATTCTCATTTTTCTTTTGAAATCAAAGTGTAACTATTTACACAGTATTAGTTCACCGAGGGAATTCCGTACTGCTTTTCAATTAACATTCGTTTTCTAACCTTTCAAACCTGCCGCTGATTTCCACGAATATTTAAAGACCAAAAACACTCGAAATACCCAAAAAAAGAAACGTCATTTTTAGGCTATAGGAAAACTGATTAATTTTTCCCGCCCCATTACGAAACATTTTTCACAACTCGGCTCTTTTTCCCTTTTGATCTTTTTTATTTAGGTTTTATTTATTCAGAAGTATGTTGAGAAACGTCGTATGATACACGTGTGTATTGATGATTACCATCCTCGGCTTCTTAAAACCCTAGCCTGACGACTCGGGCCTCAATGCGCCTCTGCGGTAATCACCAACATTACACGCTTGTACCATAATGTACAATTATTTTATACGTCATGTTACTGTTCAACGTGGGATGTTTTTGAATTCCAGGCGATAACGTGGTAGTCGGAGACAAGGTAATCATGAACCCCGTTAACGCCGGCCAACAAGTCCTACACGTCTCATCTAATCACGAACTGCCTGATAACATTGGCTGTATGGAGGTAAGCAGACTACTTCAGTAGACACTCATTTTTACATAGTACGTAACGATAGGGTAGTTTACCAACGCCAGTAGACGACTACAGAGAGCGGTGCAACAGTGCCAATGTTCAGCCGGGGTTTCGGGTCGGCCTCGACTTTGAGAAGGAGAAAGAACTTGAGTTTTTAGTAATACACTCATTCATTTGATGATTTTCCTTCATCAAAAATCTCTTCCTAATTTCAACCCTTTCTTGTAATGTCGTACATTATAATCACATAATATTTACCATAAGTTTTTATTTAATTATTCATTATCTCAATTATTCGTAGAAAAAGAGCAAATACAAGCCGAAGGTGGGTATTTTCTACTTTAAATTAGTAGCGCCATCTCTTGGTTTATGCTTGAACTTCTTCGTATACCTAAGCACACTAGAAATTCAGTTGTCGGTGTAAAAATAAAACTATTAGCTTAGTTTATTGGAAATATTTTTTACTGAAGTCCGAAACATAGTTTTAGGCCCAAAATACTTAAATTATGTAATTCTAAGAAACTGCAAGGAAAATATCTCAACTACTGTTCTCATTCTAACAGGAGGATGTCCTGATCTCCTCAACCGTAGCTGGGCATGCTTGCCTGGTTCATCTACATATGTCATGCTCTGGTTATATTAACGAAAGTGTCAGTTAAAATTTATGTTGTAGATAGCCAGGCGTAGTTGGATTGGGATGAGTGTATTTGAGGTCCATTTTAAGTGTTCCGTAAATCGAGAACTGTAGTAGCCTAGTAGTTTCAACTGTGTACAGTTTAAATTAGAACAAATGTTACATATATGACCCCATTTTTTGCAAGTCGGTTAAGAATAAAAATCAATGAAAAATTCAAGTGGGACTCCTATACCACAAATCTTAATTTTTGTGCGTAACGAAAGTGTGAGAGATCCATATTTTGGCACAAATGGACCGGCTCTTCTCACAGATAACTAACGTGAAAAAATCACAGCGTTGTGTTTTGTGGTGTGGTTGTGATCACAAAATGCCTAATCCACCCCACCCCTTTTCCCTAATACCTAAATCAACCAATCCTCAAATCCCTAATCTCTAAAAGGCCAGCGACTGCCATATAATGTTGCCGATGTCCATGGGCGGCACCGATTGCTTACCATCAGGTCATCCGTCTGCTCTTTTACAGCCCTATCCCATAGAAAATCTCTTTATGTTGGAATATGGCTGTCGGAGTCCTACCTAGTGTGGTTGTATTTATAATATGCTAGAAACAAATATATCACTTTGTACTAATCTGAAAGACAGCTAAAAGTTTACGCGTATTAACATTTTCTTACCTGCACATTAGTTTCATTTTTGTATGGCTACAGAGTAAATATAAGGGCCAGATTAGAGACCTAGGAGTCGTTGTGTATTTGAATTTTATTGTGTTTGTCTAAGGTCTATTATTGTACACATTTTGATGTGGATCGTAGTACTATATTGGCCAGTTGTCAGTAATTAAAATTAAATATAATGTTAGCTTATAATGTGAGATTGTCCGCCATAGTTCAATGGAGAAAACACCGAATGAGTTGTTTGCGTAAAAAATTAAGGGAAGCGTAATTAACGTCGTAAATGCTTTTCTATCGTAAGTCTAATCAGAAGTCAAAGTTAATAATTATATGGTCTGACATATTTCAATTGGACCCAATCGAAAAATACAATAAATTGGGTAGGTAGTTTTTCACCAGCAAAATTTTTTGATTTTGTAAAAAATATTACACTTTGATTTCGTATTTTAATTGTATTTACGATATTCTTAGCTTAAATTTGATAACAATCAAATAACGGTTCTTTGAAGAAAAAAAAACGAATGTCGTTACGTCATATTTTAAAATAAAATTTTGGTAATGCCCCCTTTAGTTTGTTTTACAGCTTACGTCACTGTTAGGTAACTCGACCAATTTCTAGTTACGCGAGGAGCCCATAGTCATGAGCAGGATTACTCTATAAACGACAATGATGTAAATATTGCTAAAAAGCTAAAAACTTCTTTGTTTGGTTGCCTTCCATTTATAAATACACAGACAATATATTATATATTAAATAAAATACTGAATTGAACTAATCATTCATTCCTTAAACAGGTGAATGTAGTCAACTCCTCGACGTCATGGAAAGTGACGTTGTTCCTAGAACACAAGGAGAATCAGGAGGAGATCCTGAAGGGTGGTGATGTGGTGAGGCTCTTCCACGCTGAACAGGAGAAGTTCCTCACCATGGATGAGTACCAGAAACGGCAGCACGTGTTCCTGAGGACCACGGGACGATCTAGTGCTACTGCCGCGACCAGCAGTAAGGCGTTGTGGGAGATTGAGGTTTGTGATATTTCGAAAATCATTTTATCCTTTATTGAACTTGTGGCGACGCACGTAGTAACGACAATATTCAACAGATGGCGTCACAAGTACAGTATTACATGACGCAAGTGAAGTTTTCGCGCGAATAGATACGTACTGGAAATCATTTTTTAGACAATAGGCCAGGTTGATCACCTCTCCTGGTCGAAGTATCCATCTATTTAGATATTAGGGAACTTTAGTTTCTGTTCCAAAAAAGATCTTGTTATGTCCTGTGTCGCCTACAAGTTTGACGTGTGATTTAATTTAAAATCATGTTTTCAGATTTTTCTTACGTTAAAAGACTTCATGGAAGATATAATGTGTAGAATAAGTTAGAATTTAAAAGAAAGTGTTAAGAAAAACAGGTTGCAAGGCATGTTTGTTAAATCACGAACGAAATGGGCAAAAACTGTGGTAAAACCAAGTTTAAAGGGAAGAAAAAAAATATTTGTCTTAGTTCTTTTGCGAAACTGAAATATATTTCCTGTACTGTAATACCGTTATCTAAATTTAGAAATTGTGTTAATCTATCCACCATTTTAATCTATCCACCAGGTGGTACAACACGACCCGTGCCGAGGTGGCGCCGGGCACTGGAACTCAATCTTCAGGTTCAAACACCTCGCCACCGGACACTATCTAGCTGCTGAAGCCTGTAATAGGCCTCCGTAAGTTGTTATTGTTATAATATAGTGAATTTAGTAAGTAACTAGCCACTCTCTCGCGGTTTCTCCCGCTATCTGCTCCTACATATCGAACCGTGATGTTTTATAGCCTATAGCCTTTCTCGATGAATGGACTAACAAACGCAAAAATAATTGTACAATTAGAACCATTAGGTCCGGAGATTAGGGCGTTCAATCAAACAAACAGCTTATAATATTAGTATAGACTAGCTACTCTTGGGCGGTTTCAGCCGCTGCTCTGCTCCTTTATATCGAAGCGTGATGTTTTGTTTTTAGCCTATAGCCTTCCTCGATAAATAGACTAAGAAACACAAAAATAATTGTACAATTAGAACCATTAGGTCCGGAGATTAGGGCGTTCAATCAAACAAACAGCTTATAATATTAGTATAGACTAGCTACTCTTGGGCGGTTTCAGCCGCTGCTCTGCTCCTTTATATCGAAGCGTGATGTTTTGTTTTTAGCCTATAGCCTTCCTCGATAAATAGACTAAGAAACACAAAAATAATTGTACAATTAGAACCATTAGGTCCGGAGATTAGGGCGTTCAATCAAACAAACAGCTTATAATATTAGTATAGACTAGCTACTCTTGGGCGGTTTCAGCCGCTGCTCTGCTCCTTTATATCGAAGCGTGATGTTTTGTTTTTAGCCTATAGCCTTCCTCGATAAATAGACTAAGAAACACAAAAATAATTGTACAATTAGAACCATTAGGTCCGGAGATTAGGGCGTTCAATCAAACAAACAGCTTATAATATTAGTATAGACTAGCTACTCTTGGGCGGTTTCAGCCGCTGCTCTGCTCCTTTATATCGAACCGTGATGTTTTGTTTTTAGCCTATAGCCTTCCTCGATAAATAGACTAAGAAACACAAAAATAATTGTACAATTAGAACCATTAGGTCCGGAGATTAGGGCGTTCAATCAAACAAACAGCTTATAATATTAGTATAGACTAGCTACTCTTGGGCGGTTTCAGCCGCTGCTCTGCTCCTTTATATCGAAGCGTGATGTTTTGTTTTTAGCCTATAGCCTTCCTCGATAAATAGACTAAGAAACACAAAAATAATTGTACAATTAGAACCATTAGGTCCGGAGATTAGGGCGTTCAATCAAACAAACAGCTTATAATATTAGTATAGACTAGCTACTCTTGGGCGGTTTCAGCCGCTGCTCTGCTCCTTTATATCGAAGCGTGATGTTTTGTTTTTAGCCTATAGCCTTCCTCGATAAATAGACTAAGAAACACAAAAATAATTGTACAATTAGAACCATTAGGTCCGGAGATTAGGGCGTTCAATCAAACAAACAGCTTATAATATTAGTATAGACTAGCTACTCTTGGGCGGTTTCAGCCGCTGCTCTGCTCCTTTATATCGAAGCGTGATGTTTTATAGCCTTCCTCAATAAATGGACTAACAAACGCAAAAATAATTGTTCCAGAGATTAGCGCGTTCAAACAAACTCTACAGCTTTAAAATATTAGTATAGATTAATAATAAGATTAATCGGACTGACATATACATGTTTTTTCTATATCATAAGTCGGCAAACGAGCAGATAGATTACCCGACGAAAAGCAATCAGCGCCACTCATGGACATTACTAATATCAAAAGAGTTAGTTACTACAAGTGCGTTGCCGGCCTCTTGTGTCTCATTAGGGATTTAAGGATTAAGGTCCGGGAGCGGAGAGGGTTAGGCATCCGCTAACCTCACTCATATGGCGAAACACAACGTAAAGTGTTCTGGCTGACTCGACCAGGCAGATACCACGGCCTCAGAATGTTGTTTTACCGTGTGATTAAGATTAAAAGAGTCCAATCCTTTGCTCCCATCTTATCCTTAAACCCCAAAAGGCCGGCAACGCAGTGGTATCTCCTGTGGTGTTGCGGGTGTCTCTGTTTACTATTAAGATCGTGCGTCTGTCCGTTTGCCGCCCAATAAATAAAATTAAATATAAAATAAGCCTTTATTGCTGTAGTTGCAATTATGTAATAAGAAAAAATACAGTTGTAACAAAGAGGTAAGAAATAAAGCAAACTTAAAAACTACTGTAACATAATCTCAGCAATCGGTTTCTCTCCTCTTACAACAGCTAGTCTTTCGACAAAGGCCTCCTCTAAGTTTGTCCGTTTGTGTTTGTTTATTATTATTTTAAACCTTTTTAATTTAATTATTTTGCTAGAGGCCCATATTCATGAGCAGAGTTCCGCGACGGGCGACGCGGCGACTACCGCGCTGCTACTCTGCTGCTCATGAATATGGACCTCTAGCATGGCTTGTAACGTCGAGTATCTCGTCAAATTATTACCTGAGTAAGCCGAAAACATAATAATTAATTTAGAATGTCTCACGAACGTTATAATAAAAATATAGTAAACCTTTTTAATTTTGTTTGCTTAGAGAATTTCGTCAATTTTTTACATGATTTGTGTATATCCTTTGTTTTTATCCTAGACATTTAGTTAGGTTATTTATTTAAGATTGGAGATCTTAAATAAATAACCTAACTAAATGTCTTTGTGGTTGCAGTGACGCGGCCGTGGACCCATGCGAGCCAGCATACCAGCTGGTATCAGTGCCGCACTCCTCCGAGATCGCCACGCTGTTCGAACTGGACCCCACCACCATGACACATTCCGACGCTCCAGTTCCTCAGAGCAGCTATGTCAGGTAAACATTTTCTTTTAAATAACTTTTGAGCACAGTAGCCAGTGAGTCAACTTACTTTATTTCATTGGATTTTCGACTTTATAGCAAATAAAGACAGTTGAAAATGGATACACGAATTTGATAGAAAGGTTTTTGTAGTAATACGAATGAAACTGACTATTTTAAATGGGAGATGAGTCGATCAAGTACCTAATGTATTTGAAACAAAATAAGTGTGATGCAACATTGTTTTTCATTACGATACTCTGATACTGGGTCGCGACTAAATTTTTTGGGAAATTTGCGAAATGCAGCATTAGCGCCATCTGATTGATGATCACAAAAACTAAAGTGATGTTATCGGAGGCCCAATCCTTTCTCTCCCCAAACTTTAATCCTCAAAAGGCCGGCAACGCATTCGTAACTCTATTATTGAGGGTGTCCATGAGCGACGGCGATTGCTTACCATCAGGTAATCCCATAACATGAAAAACATCCTCAGTTTTTAATTTGTTCCAGGCTCCAACACCTTTGCACGCACACGTGGGTACATTCTACTGCTATTCCCATCGACAAGGATGAGGAGAAGCCTGTCATGTCCAAGGTAAGAAAGACTACTGCATTTCCGTAAGCCGCTAGGAAGTAGATATCATTATGTTAAGCAAATTTCAACAATAATGGCATTGGTTTAAGGACGGATGTGCCTTAAATACTTTATTTTATTCCTTCTCTACAAGTACTTGTACAAATGAAACATCTACTAAGTCTTTGTAGAGTATCTTTAAATCTCAGAATACAGAACAAACCAGAAGGCGTTATCGCGCTTAAAACAGAAGCAACTAAAACCACTCTTTACTATAGTAGTATGAAATTTCTACGATTAGTCAATTTTGGCACGTGGCATGTCGTGACGTATTTACGAGTATCAATTTTAATTTCATTATGCCGTCTTGTGTTATTACTACGAGTAAAAATGCGACTGGAATTACGAAAAAAGTGGATAAGATTACATTTCATCTGCAAGCATCGACTGCAATAGTATATTTAATTAATTATTGAATTTTTTTAATCGATTTATTTTTCTATGAAAATTATGCGGCCATTTTGTGAGTGTTGTCATTTTTGGTGAAAATTTTACCCACTTATTTATTTTTTGTGGGTTATATTTCTGTCCATTATCTAACAAAAAAATCATACAAAAGGCACGGCTAGATTCATTTTGGAAACCATCTAGCCAGAGCATAGTTTGCTCAATTTACTTTGAAGAGATATATGTATTTATGACAAAGGTGGTTTGAAAACAGCATTTCCTACTAAGATATATCTATAGGTATACTAATGCTGAAGAGTTTGTTTGTTTGTTTGCTTGAATTCGCTAATCTCAGGAACTAAGTAAAGTAAGTAGACTTCTAATGTTTAGTTCCGAGTCTAAAGACAATACATATTATAAAAAAGTAAACCAGCAAAAGGGAACGCAATAAAACCTTCTCACTTATTGAAGCTTTGTTTTATTTGTTGTGTATAGTAGGTGTAACTAAAATTAACATTAACATTTATATTAAGTTTACCTATTTTTGTTGGGTTTACCCAACAAAATATATCTTACCCTCCTGTTGTAAAATTACCCCAAACCAAGGGAATTGTTCCAATGTCGGCAACACTACGCGGGTGGGAAGTGCGGCTGGCGGGGGGATTGACGTATTGTTTTTGGACACATTTGACGACATGTAATTATGAGTGAACGCGGCTTCTGGTTTGTTCTGTATTCTGAGCTTTAAATGTGGAAGAGCCATACTTCAGCACGAATGGGTCGGCTCGACCGGAGTGATACCACGGCCTCACAAAAAACCGGGGTGAAACAACCACAGCGTTGTGTTTCGCCGTGTGAGTAAAGTTACCGGACGGTTCATCCTTACCCAGTAATATGTGACGGAACCCTTACTTAATTAATTATTCAACAAAAAAAAAAACTTGTACTGGCTTTCGCCCACGGCTTCACCCCTGTGTGGTATGTTGATAAAAAGTGTATGTGTTAATCCAAGGCAATCTCACCTATATAACGGTCTTACCGTTTTTGTGTGATGACAAACAAACATACGTCCATACATTCTCACAAATGTTAGTCGAATGATACGTACTGCACGGTTGGCGCGGTGGTTGGGCAACTGGCTGCGGCGCAACGTGTCACGGGTTTGATTTCCGCACGGAACAACTCAGTGTGATCCACAAATTGTTGTTCCGGGTGTATGCGTGATATGTATGTGAAATTGTGTTTGTAAGCACACCCACCACACAGGATAAAATCCTAGTGTGGCAAAAAAAAAAAACAAAAAAAATTTGCTATACTTTCTGAACATTTCAGGTGGGCTGTTCCCTCGTCAAAGAAGACAAGGAAGCGTTTGCATTAATATCGGTGTCGCCGAGCGAGGTTCGAGATCTCGATTTCGCTAACGACGCCTGTAAAGTGCTCTCGGCCTTGTCCACCAAACTGCAGCACGGGAATATAGAACATAATGAGAGGAAGTAAGGATGATTTTTCAGTATTTTGTCGAATTTCTAAAGACGTGTTTAGGATAGGTTCATGAGAGAATGAGTTTTTGGTTGAATACTGCGTCACGTTGACGATGATCTAATATTACTAGCCAGTTATGTAGAGCTGACTTAAGGATGCAAAATGAAATTGAAACGAATTTATTTATACGTTTAATAAAATAATTAGAGTTACAATTAACATATTTTTAAAGACGCAACAATCTCTTTGATGTCAGAACAAAAATTAATCTTTTGAGGCTAAAGAGATTCACTTAATTATAATTTGAACTAGCAACCCATCCTGTTTAGTGTCAGCGTTGCAACCGTGCGACCCTGTCAATTTCTCCACTATATACTGGATGTTATTATACCTACAAGCCTTCTTCTTCAATCACTCTATATATTAAAAAAAGACCGTATAAAAATCTTGTCAATGCTAAAATTAACTAATCTCCTGTTAAATCTCTTGTCAAGTCATCTGATTGGTTGTTGATAATTCAGTCAACCAATCAGATGACTTGGCAAGAGATTAAATTGATTTTAACATTAAACGGCTTTTTGGAAACCGGGTGTTAATCATACATACTAAATAGGGACAGAGAAAGCAATTTTGTTTCATCCTATGTAGTGATAAGGTAACAATTCGTTTGCAGAGCTCTGACCTGCCTATTGCAAGACATAGTGTACTTCATAGCGGGCTTCGAGAACGAGCCCAACAAGTCGGAGGCGCTGGAGCTGGTGGTGGAAAACCCCAACCGGGACCGGCAGAAGTTGCTCCGGGAGCAGTACATACTCAGGCAGCTCTTTAAGATATTACAGGTAATGTTAATGGGGAGACCATAGACGTTGCGAAAATATTGAGATAAAAATAAAAAATAAAAGAAGAAGCATTTAATTCAGGTCCATAACTTCTATAAAAAAATACAGTTTTTCAGGTATTACACAGTTTAAACCACTTTTGTCACTCATATCCAAAATAGCTCCATAGTAGGTCGCATCATAGCTTACCACCAGGCGTGATAGTGGCCAAACGTCGGCCCATTAATTAATAAAATCATCTTTCCAATTAGTCCAATACTATAGTTTTAGTTAAATATCAAATGTATGTATACAACCTAGTAAAGCAGTAATTTAGTTGTATACAGACTTTATTATTTAATTAATTGTGTAGTTTTTCAGTGAAAAATAAATTAAGTCAACTTTAACACAATACGATATTTAAAAAAAAAACATACTTTTGACTAATTAATTCCGCTACACGCTTTATATTTGACTATTACTTACTATAATAAATATAAGTTTTTTTTGTCCTTGTCATTTGTATGAAAATGTGCAATAGAGAAGGCGCTATACTAACTCGTCTCCGTGAATACACTATAGTAAAATAAGTATGCTTACGTTCGAAGTCAAAGAACACAAAATCTTGTAGAAATGGCATAGAATACTATTGTTTTTCTTTAGTAAAGAAGTGTAGAATTTGTCTATGTACTTGGAAATATAACGAAACTGCGACTACGTATGGACAGGCTATTTACTATGCAATATTTTTCCAGGGTCCGTTCCAAGAGACGACTGATGGTGAAGCGTTCTTGAAGATCGAGGAGTTGTATGACCCTCGATATGCTGCCTATAAGTACATCTTTCGTCTGTGCTACAGGATCCTGAGACTCAGCCAACAGGACTATAGAAAGAACCAGGTTTGTTATACATATTTCTTTAATCTGCACTTTTAACAGAACGCACCATGAATACCATGTCATGTTACTGCTAGGTTTTGTGCGTGGCTTCGTTCGAGATATTTAGATTAAAAAAAAAATGTATTTGTGTTATCCTACATTAATAAAATATTCTACTCAAAAAATAGTAGTATTAAATTTTAAAAATTCTACTGTTGTCCTTTGTTTGATTAGTTCTAGTTATAATTTCTATTTATTTGTCTGTACAAACGCATAATTTTAGGAATATTGATTAGCTTGTAACAGGCTATTGTATAAGACCTACAACCTATAACGAATACTTCCAACTACTTTTTATACATAAGCAGCTGTGAGCCTACCTTATCATAATAAATAAAAAAAAAACATTACATCTGGATTTTTGCTTGTTCAGTAACGAACAGAATTGAACTTAATTGCTTAGTGTAAAGAGTTGTAATTTCAATGAATAGTTCTGGTTCCGTTATTTTGAAATTTATTCTGTGATCTGAAGTTTGTATTGTATTTTTGCAGGAATATATAGCAAAACACTTCGGCTTTATGCAGAAGCAAATCGGTTACGACATATTGGCAGAGGACACTATCACCGCCCTGCTTCACAACAACAGGAAGCTTTTGGAGAAGCACATCACGGCATCCGAGATTGAGACCTTTGTCGGTCAGTTGAACCTCATAACTTTCACTCCAGGGGTACTCATCCCTAGCTAAAATATTGTTTTAGTGTTTTTATTATATGATAGCACGGCAAACGAGCATACGGTAATCAGCACCGCCCATGGACACCCGCAACGAAGAAGTTACGAGTGCGTTGCCGACCTTTTAGTGTTTAGGGATTGGGAGATTTTGGGATTATTGAGGGATTGGAGGCTCCGGTAACCACACCGGTGTGTGAGCACACACTAACACGGCGAAACAACGCTGTGGTTGTTTCACGTCGGTTTTCTGTGAGGCCGTGGTATCACTCCGGTCGAGCCGACCCATTCATGCCGAAGCATGGCTCTCCCACACTTTCCAGTGGTTCCAGCTGTAAATAGTAAAACGGAACCCGTTTACTAAAACTTCTATAGATTCGTTTGTATGTCTGTCTGTATCACCGGGCTAGATCTAGTTAGTAGAAACATTTAAGTAGGAGTCTTCGGTAACCTTAATCTCGCAGCTTGAAATAACGCTTGCGTTGTTTCAATATTTAGTCATTTACTTATATATTTTTGTGTTATAAATTATTTTAAATAATATGAGCAATAAGCTTAAATAATTTTAGAGTTGGATGCGCAACCCACTTCACGCTGCTCACGAATATGATTCCCGGTGTGTCTTGAAACTAATTAATAACACGTATTAATAATAAAAAAAAATGGTTGTTAACAATTTACTTTTTCAACATGAATTTTATATCGTATGCAGGTTTGGTCCGCAAAAATATGAAAACATGGCAGTCTCGATTCCTGGACTACCTGAGCGACCTCTGCATTTCCAACAAGAAGGCTATTGCCGTGACGCAGGAACTCATTTGCAAGAGTGTCCTGTGTGCCAATAACTCGGATATACTCATCGAGACCAGGTACGTATAGTTACGACAGGAAAAATATCATTCTTGGAGGTTTTTTATTTTCTAATGGCCATGCGCGTTTGGCCGCTATCGCTATAAGCAATGATGCGACCCACGATGGAGCATGGAGCAAACTATTCACTCGTATGTTGATGCCAGGTCCTTCGAGGAAATCATAAATCATTTATTTCTTTGCAAACATGGGTGATTAATACATTGGTGGTTTCTTACGATTATATTGAGCCCGTCACTATTATTATTTTCATAAATTTAATTACATTACCTACCAGAAGTAAGCTATTCACTCGGGCCTTGAAGAAACCCAAGGTATATTCGGGGAACATAAAATATAAAATACTAGCTGCTCTCGCGCGGTTTCACCCGCTGCTCGGCTACATTTGATTGTAGCGTGATGTTTTATAGCCTATAGCACTCAGGAATATTGTAGCTATCTATCAGTGAAAGAATTTTGGCAATCCGACTAGCGGTTCTAAAGATTACTCCATACGTACAAACTTACAAATTTTACCTCTTTATAATATTAGTATACACAGATATCTGCTGTATATCTTCAACATTACTTTGCATAACCACAAACTCAATAACTTTACCCTCACAAAAAAAAAAACATAAGCAATAATAAACAAACTGTGCAATTACCGGTTGCACAGTAAGTGCGCGAGACATGCGTTCTATTCAATAAATGTAATTTAATTACTATATAACTTTATTTGCAGATTGGTTTCAACAAAATATGAAAAAAGTAATACACTAGATCCAGACGACAGCAAATACACTGTAGAGGAGGAAGTTATGCTGTTGTGGAACAATAAAAAGGTAAGAAATAATATATTATGCTTGACATACATAATACATTGATGACATAACATTATATATACTTCTATACTAATATTATAAATGCGAGAGTGACTCTGTCTGTCGGTCTGTCTGTCTTTTCTTCACGCCTAAACTATAGAACCGATTTCTGTTATATTTGGTACAAACATAGTTTGGAACTTGAGAAAGGACATAGGATAGTTTTTATCTTAAAAATCTGCAGGAAGTCAGTCTATTCCACGCGAACGGAGTCGCGGGCAAAAGCTAGTTAATAATAAATGTACCTTTATTGAAAACTAGCTACTCTCCCGCTGCTCGGCTCCTACAGATCGTAGCGTGATGTTTTATAGCCTATAGCACTCAGGAACATTGTAGCTATATATCAGTGAAAGAATTTTGGAAATCCGGCCAGCGATTCCAAATAATTTCAAATAGACCAGTATAGACACATTTGAACGTCAAATAAAAAAATAAAATAAAAATGTAACGCACAAATTACACTCAACAGTGACATATTAAAGCTGTCTTCTGTCTTCCAGTGTTCCCGCCTACTATCAGAATTGGCGGCAGAAGCCCGAGCGGACCCTGGCGGGCAGTCTGCCGCCATCCTGGACTACTACCGCCACCAGCTCGACCTGTTCTCCAACATGTGCCTCAACAGGCAGTATCTCGCGCTCAACACTCTTTCTCCACAGCTGCATATACATCTCATACTCAAGTGAGTTGTGCCTATAATACTGCTCTTTACTGTATTTACTATAGTGACTAAATTCGCTTGATCAGTTTAATGGTACGGTTACAAGCTTGCCGAGACTTGTCAAACGTCCACAAGCTTAAAGCCTTGACACAAGCGTGTGAACAGGGTGTTTGGCGTGGTTGCAATAGCTTGTCGGCGATGCGGGCCGGTGTCGTTATTGAACACAGATCAAAAAAATTTGTGACAAGCGTTTGCGACATATTTTCAGGTTTTTATTATAACTTTCGAGAGACATAGTAAATTAATTATTATGTTTTCGGCTTACTCACGTAATTATTTGGCGAGAAACTCGACTAGTTTTCAGGCCATTCTAGAGGCATTCCGCGCCAGTAAAAGCTTGGAGGTTGTGGACGTTTGCCAAGTCTCGGCATTGTATTGCTTGAACTGAACACGGCAAATACGCCAAGCCTCACCCCCGGAAATCTAAAAAGAAAGCGATAAGTTATACAAATTCAACAACTGCCCTTCGCTTTTATACTGATGAGATTTCTCTTAAATAAAATACTAACATTAAGTCTTATATTCAAGCGAGTCGTGCCTTTATTGTACTTACTATAAGTGCTAGATTCGCTTGATCAATTGATTGTCGAATGTTAAAGTTGTTGGTATTTGTGTTAGAAAGATTGTGAAATAGTATTGTCCATTGTGTATAGATGTATGTCTAACGCGAGCCTGTCGTACGAGGTCCGCGCGTCGTTCTGCCGCCTGATGCTGCACCTGCACGCGGACAGAGACCCGCAGGAGCCGGTCACGCCCGTCAAGTACGCGCGGCTCTGGACCGAGGTCTGCGACCGGATACACATACACGAGTGAGTTGCAGACGTACCGCAACATTTATAATACTAACGACATGAAAATGTCCTGCCATTTCGGTTGCACCTTACCTAGTTAATATCATAAGGGGACAACACTGCTATAATGTGAATAGCGTGTCCACTGTCCAACAATACGGTAGTTTCCAACTAGTCAAATTCAATACTTTTATTCAAATAATGTCAAAAACTATACTGTTCTATGAAGTTTGTATGAAATCCAAATTATGACGTCATCGTATTTTTGCGTTAAATAGCTTACATATTTCTTAAAAATTAGCTAAAAATATTGAAAATTTAGTGTATCGATAGACCAATGATATTATTGTAACATACAATTTATTTATTTTTTACGTAGGTACTACCACTAACTACCCTGTTCCCTGTATGAGTTGATTAATAAATGAAATGCATTGATTACATGTCCAATATTTACTTAATTTATTTACTTACATAATGGGTTATAAAAAAATATCGTGTTCTTCTGTACCCTAACAAAACCCTAGTTTTTAATTTCTAATCAAATAAAAATGTTCCACGTTTTCGTTTATAAAGCTAATGGAACTGTAAATAATATAAATTAAATACATCTTATACTTAAGTGAGTTGTGCCCGTAACTGTTGATTTATTTTTAACATTGAAACAATGATATCATAAGTAAAAAGGTGTAGATAGGTTACAAGCGCTCAGCAAGTGATACATTAAAATGTGGCTAATTAGCCACACTTTTTTATATTTGTCTCTTTTTCACTCGCTATTATTGAATCATGCCATCCCACTTTAACGTGTATCATACGCTCGTGTGCATTAATGTGCCCATTTTATACTCAAGTGAGTTGTGCCCGTAACTGTTGATTTATTTTTAACATTGAAACAATGATATCATAAGTAAAAAGGTGTAGATAGGTTACAAGCGCTCAGCAAGTGATACATTAAAATGTGGCTAATTAGCCACACTTTTTTATATTTGTCTCTTTTTCACTCGCTATTATTGAATCATGCCATCCCACTTTAACGTGTATCATACGCTCGTGTGCATTAATGTGCCGTTTTTGAAAATCGAATTTTGTCTATGTAACCTATCTACACCTTTTTACTTACAATATCATTACATTGAAACTCTAATTTCAGCTATCAATGTGTGAAAGGCGGTCCCGATGCTAACCGGGAGAAGGTTAAAGAGCAGTTTGCTTCCACCATACGCTTCGTGGAAAACTACCTCTGTAACGTGGTTACCAAGACCTGGTACTTTAGTGATCACGATCAGAATAAGTTGACCTTCGAAGTCGTTAAACTTGCCAGGGAGCTCATCTACTTCGGATTCTATAGGTAAGCCTTCAAAAATATTAATCACTAGCTACTCTCGCGCGGTTTCACCTGCTCGGCTCCATTTGATCGTAGCGTGATGTTTTATAGCCTATAGTATACGTACATTGTATATTAGTGAAAGAATTTGAGGAATCCGACCAGCGGTTCCAAAGAATACCCCCCTCCATACAAACTTAAAATTTTTACCTCTTTATAATATTAGTATAGATTTATTTCAAATAGACCTGTTATAGGCACTTTTGAACGTCAAATAAAGTAAATAATATCAAAAGGAAAGGAAAACTTTATGTGTGTCGGTCTGTCGGTCTGTAGGTACTCTTGTGTGGCTTGGTGGTAGACATCGCTCATGGAATGCATGTATGCAGTACAGCTACATAGGCGATAAAAAAATGATATTAATTATTGATTTATTTCTTTATATTAATTGATAAGAAAATATAATTTGATTACAACTGAATACAAATTTTCGTCTATTAAAATTAAAAACAAGAAAATGAAATTTGAGCTTGCACCTAAAACTTTTTTGGTGAGAGCAAAATCAAATAACTTCACTCGTCCAGACAACTCCCCCTGCCCCGTTCCTTCTCTTGAGGTCGAAGCTTTTTTTTTGTGAGGGGAAAATTATTAAATGACTTCTCCCGCCCAGGGTCGGGCGGCAGGGAGTGTCAGACTCTTACTGACTAAAAACCCCCCCTGTTCCTTCTCCTACTCTGGGCCGAGGTCGCGGTGCCTCATTGCGCTTACCCCGCAATGCCGGCACGCACGATTCTCTCTTCCTTCTTAATATTAAACTAGAGATAATAAGGATCTATGATTTTCAGCTTCAGCGACCTTTTGCGGTTAACAAAGACACTACTGAGTATTTTGGACTGCGTAACAGCTATGGACCTCCTCAACGAGACAAACGCGCTCTCGGGCGAAGTGGAATGTAAGTAGAACTGATACAACTTATAGGTTGGCTATCGAGCAGACAGATTAGCTGATGGTAAGCCATCGGCGCCTGCAGCATAGATAGAGGAGACACAAGTGCGTGAAGCTTTAGTGTCTCTGGTCGAGTTGGCAGTTCTCCAATTCAACTGTACTTTTATTTACCACTAGCTACGGTTCTTGCACGGTTTCACCCGCTGCTCGGCTCCATTTTATCATGGCGTAATGTTTTATAGCACTCAGGAACATTGTAGCTATCTATCAGTGAAAGAATTTTGGCAATCCGACCAGCGGTTCCAAAGATTACCCCCTACATACAAACTTACAAACGTATAATTTTTACCTCTTTATAATATTAGTATAGACTAGCAAACCCAGCGAAATCCGTTTCGCCACCAGATGTATTTCAAAGAGTTGGCGCTGTATGTGAAAAAAATACTATCCAGTTTTTCTGTTAATTTTTTCCTGAATTTTCTTTGCTATAAACCTCACGGAGCCCAGGACCTTTCCAACGAATGTAAGACCGTGGAAATCGGGTCGTGCGTTCTGGAGTTATAACGTCAGGAAGGAAATCTCGACTATATATTTTTATATAGCAGATAAGTTTGTTGATTAACTATTAAACGTTTGCTCGGCATCATTTCCGCTATATATTTTTCAAACGAAACTTGTATTTTCGCAAGCAGCTCAGGAAAAGGAGATAAAGAAACGTAAGTTTTTGCTAACTAGCATCTGAACCTCTTGTTAGTTATTAATTATATTATAGGGATCTGCTTATAATAATTTATCTGTATACTAGCGGCCCGCCCCCGCTTCGCACGGGTCCAACTATCAAAGGGTCACTTTTTCTTAATCTTCCCCTCTAGTTTTCTCATATTTTCTTTCATAAGAACCTTCTCCTGACAATAACAAACACAACAAAAAAATAATTAGCAAAATTGGTCCAGGCGTTGTTGAGTTATGCGCTTACCAACACATTTTGCGATCCATTTTTATAGATAAAAGATGGTGCTAAAGAGAGACACATAGAACCATATAGTTTTAGAGGTATGAGGAACAGGGTGGAAAGTTCCTCATCCTCCATTGAAAAGGGAGGATCCTCCGACCAGGCGAGGTGTTCGTGCCTGGCGGGCTACTGCCCGACGGTTGTTGTTGGGATTTTTGTATCAGTGCTAATTGTGTTGTAAACTCTTATAGCGCGATGTAGAAACTTGCACGTGATTGGTGCTGTTGTCAATGTTGTGCGATAGATGTCACTACATAGTGTTTTTTATTTATTTAAATATGCATATGGAACCTTAAGCTATCTATTTGTAAAGGCTAAGCGCCGAGTTTGCGCATATATCCATAACGATGAGATATTATTACTAAATTGTGTTCTTAGTTTTGTTGAATGTAACGAAAAGTAATCAAATTATTTCTCTTGCCCTGGGGGGGACATAGAAATCAAAATCGTTTATTTTCACAAAAATATGTTTACAAAAAAAGATGGATAATTGTATATGGTCTCAATACATTTCACCTTACGATATGCAAATTATCAATTTACAATTAATAAACTAGTGATAAATTAATGACATATTTTTGACATACATAATAGATTATTTTATCCTACCAAACATTAAATTAATAAAAATATCAAAGAACAATACAAATTAAACAAAATTCCTAATAAAATTCTTTACATTATAAAATGTCCTACAAAACATGTTTTAACATAAATAATACAAATCAACCAAATAAAAAATCAAATTCTCACATTTAAAAAGGACAAATTCATACAGAAAAATAATCCTACAATGAAGACATAACATTTAATCTACAGTTTCATCATTTAAAAAATCATAAAGGAGTGATAGAATTTACACACCGTACTGTGATGATTAGCCGCCTTAATGTAGTGTACTGCTTACAGCTGAAGGCGGTGTATTGCGCAGTATAGGCGACATGGGCGCTGTAATGACATCGATTACACTTGGATCTGTTGCTAGAAATGTAAGTTGCTTAATGACAGTAAGTTTTTTAATACAATGTAGTTAAAATGTCCTCTGAATGCCATTTTTGTATAGACTTACAGTTTTGTTAAGTAGGAATCATCGTAAAAATACTTTATAAGAAAGATTAGCACTATTCACTATTAAAAAAAAAAACAATTGACAAAACAATAACTCAGTCATTCTTTCACGTCTTGATTTGAAAGTAGTGACCAACAATATTTTTTTCATCTACCATTAAAATATAACAAAAATATAATGTAAATTATATTAAATTCCGTTTTTTTGTAATATATTTGAAGATAATATATATTATAAATTTCCTAGGCAAGTGGCAACACTTCAAGCGCAGGTCCAAGCAGCAGTGGAGGGGGGCTGCAGCGCACTGCATCCGCGCTGTTACTGGCTCGCGAACATCCTCTCGTCATGGACACCAAGCTCAAGATCATCGAAATATTACAGGTGATACTGTTTTATTTTCGTTTCAATTTAAACGTTGCCCCACACTAGAATTTTCTCCTGTGTGGTGGGTACGTCTACAAACATACAATTTCACATACACATCGAACCCAAACCCACACAAAGAGTTGTTGGGAGCTAGTTGCCTAGCCACCGCGCCAAAACTAAACTCATATTTTGCCTTACCCCAATTCAAAAATAATAAGAGTGATGTAGATATTATGTAACATTGTGAAGCTACCCAAATGACCTCATAGATCAGAGAAGGATTAGACGATGACCATTGCTCATAAGATCTCATAATCCAAACTAATATTATAAATGCGAAAGTAACTCTGTCTGTCTTTTCTTCACGCCTAAACTACTGAACCATTTCTGTGAAATTTGGTACAGATATAGTTTGGAACTCGAGAAAGGACATAAGGATAGTTTTTATACCAAAAAATTGATCTAAGTCACTATATCGCGGGCAAAATTTAAATTTTTGCTTACTCTTTCCAGTTCATCCTAGACGTAAGATTGGACTACCGCATCAGCTGTCTCCTGTCTATCTTCAAGAAGGAGTTCGAGCAGGCCGGTGAGAGGTCCGCCGACACTATCGGCAGGGCTGATGTGGAGGCTATAGGCCTTCAAGCTGAGGGCATATTTAGCTGTCGGTGAGTACGAGAGATGGAAAGAATGAGTAAAGAGGTTTTCGTCAAACAAGATTATTTGGTTAGACTTTGCATTGGAAATAGAATAGATTGATTGATGTTGAATATTTTTTCATTAATTGTGAAATAAAGTGTGGGAGAGCCATGCCAAGTGTAGGAGAGCCATGCTTCGGCACGAATGGGTCGGCTCGGCCGGAGTGATACCACGGCCTCACAGAAAACCGGCGTGAAACAACCACAACGTTGTGTTTTGACGTGTGAGTGAGGTTACCGGAGGCCCCATCCTTCCCCTACCCCAATCCCTTCCCAGTCCCAAAATCCCCAAAATCCTAATCCTTAAAAGGTCGGCAACGCACTTGTAACTCCTTCTTTGTTGCGGGTGTCCATGGGCGACGCCGATTGCTTACCATCAGGTAATCCGTCTGCTCGTTTGCCGTCCTATCGCATAAAAAAAATAAAAAATTTTGTTTTTAACACACATCGGTACGTTTTTTTTGTAATATTTGATGTAGTGTGTGTTTATTTTTTAATTTTCTATTGTATTGCAAAGTTGAAGCAATGTTTTCATAATAAGGAAGCAATGCATCGTCTAAAATTTACGAATATTCTTGTTTGAATTCTAAGAGTGTTTTCGCACTACGTCCAATCTGAATGCAATACGAAAATGTTGAAGATATAGGCACAGAAATCACGGATAGAAGTCGGATATTCCTTGACAGAAATCTGATGTCAGATATAGAATATCCGAGTTTTCTTAACCTGTATCTTCACGGTATAGGATCAGGCGTGGTGGAAAAACACCCTTATGAACACATAAGAAAAGAAGTTTCTTTTTAATTATTTCTAAATAAAATGGTTTTTTATCGTACACTTATCTGTTGGATAATTTTCTTCTACGTAGCTGTAATACAATTTTTCTTCTTTCGTAAATCTCTTTAATAAACATACTTATTTAGATTTTACTCTTTTCTTCATAATAATGTTCAATAGGCTATGTAAATAATTGTCGAATTATGTAAACATTGTGTAAAGCAAATCTATTTCATATAGATAAATGCAATAAGTAAATAAATATTATAATTAATACTCTCTTTTCTGTACCTATCTTGATTTTTTTGGTTGAGTTTTAATTTACTTAGCAGAAACTTTTAATTACATGTCAGTTATTTTAAGCTGTTATCACTACATAGTATAAAACAAAGTCGCTTTCTCTATCCCTATATCACGTCCCTATATACGCTTAAGGGCGGATTTTTCAATGGTTAGATAAAAGTTGTGGAATAATTATGATGTTGTCATGTCAAAATGTTTGTATAAGACAGTGACAGCAACAATGTTATTCATCAGATAACATTTATCTGACTAATGAAAAATCATGCATTTTTTTAATAAATAGAGTGATTAATGAGTTCATTCTTTATATATGATAACATCCATTAAATTGTGGAGAAAAGTAACATCATCGCAAAGTTGCTATTTTTCATAAAACATTTTCATTTATTAGTGAAATAAATAAATAAATAAATTGAAACTCAGCCAATAATAGTACAAGAAATACATTGAATATTTCAATAGTAGTTACATCTTTGTTATGATACCATCATAATTTAGTGACTAACGCATGCTTTCTGGTGGCGGGTCGAATAAGTAAATGGTTATTGAATTCGAACTACTTACTAAATAAATAAACTACGACTTTCGTGGGACACAATAAATTAATTGCGATGAAATGGAGTGAATAGAATTCGAAGAGTAAATAGGGGCCATCCATAAAGTACATCACATGAATTTCATGATATTTTCAGTTGGGGGCTGACTGTCCCCCGCCCCTCCTCCGGTCCTTGTCACAGGTAGTCACATTTCAGAGACTCGTCCCTAGTGTGACGTCACATGTTTTGCAATTTCACATCGAAAAATCATTAAAGAGACACAATAAAATTAACGTATAAATAATGTATTATACGTATTAGTTTATATGTATTTTGTAAGTATTTTATTATCAATTTATTGTACACTAGACTGCCCCTTCCCTGGTTTCTGTCAAATATCCATCTTAAGGATCCATCCTTTTCTGGAAGAAATCACCCTGTGTGATAAGACCGCCCATCGTAAACTCTATGAGCCTGCTTTTGTTTTTTTTAATAATGTGTACAATAAAGTATTGTATAAATAAATAAATAAAATCGTGCGTTTGGCGGCATTCTTCAAAGGGCCCGTCGTCGGAGGTCGGCTCGTGTCGCTAGAACTGGTATGAACTCGATAACAAAGCAATTTAATCCGTGTTTTCCTAAAGATTGAGTCGAAAATATTTTTTGTTCGATTAATATTTTAAATTACTGACGTGATTAGTACCTCTAGATATTTCAGATTTTGTCACAAAACTTAAGACTTCTTCCATCCTTTGTCACACCATGTCACACTTTGACACTTTGTTGACTCCCCGCCCCCTGCCCCTTTTACGTGTGACGTACTTTATGGATGACCTCATAGACGCAGCAGAGGTGTGAATAGATACAAGGAAAATTCACCCCTCTTCTATATCCATTCACCCCTCAAATTCTATTTATCCCGTTTTACGGCATAATGTTTAGCGACTTACTCACGTGACTGTTTGGGGAGATAACTAGACGAGTTTCAATTCACGCTAAGAGGTTTTTTGGCCATACTGCATTACATTGGCCAATACTGCCTTCAGTTTTTTATATTTTTAGAATTACTTTTGCTACTTTAGGATTGACTTCTGTGTCGTGAATGTGTTTACAATCATACAATTTCACATACACATCACACATACCTGGAACAATAATTTGTGGATATCACAAAGAATTATTCCATGCGGGAATTGAACCCACGACGCATTGCGAGGCAGCCAGTTACCCACACACCGAGTCGAGGTGTAATGTATGTAAAAATTTACTAACGCACAGACACTAGGCGTTCGACCACGTTTGTCTTTTTTAAAAAAGGAAAGACAATTTCCTGCAAACCATTTCAATAAACCACTTGAACAAAAAAAAATATCCACTAAATGTCCCTTTTAATTACTCGAAATTTTAGCAATATGGGTAACGCGATGGCACCTTGGCGGCGTCCAAAATCTAACTAACCGCATTATGAATTCTAATTTACTGTTATTGTAAAATGCATACTCGGCGTAAAAATGCAATGCGCAATGGAAATATATGTTGTATTATAGTAAATAGTAAAATCTGACTTAGGCTCTATTGCCTTGTAATAAGGATTATAACAGCACCCATACGAGAGCAAGTCCTAGGTGTTTTTCGTGGCTCTCAATAGAATTTTGAATTATACCTGACCTTATAATACACAATTTTATAAAAGTTAGTAATTGTATAAGATATATATCAAGGTACATACATAGTTAGCGAACATTTTTGTAATAAAATATACTTTAAGTAAATTTTAAGTTTTCGCCCTCTGTCCCCGTAAGACGTCGCCACGATTCATATGAATATGAAACCCGGTGTGACTTGAAGTTAGTCGATCGTTTCTCTTCTCTATTTGTTCACGTGAGTGAGATGTAATAATTTCAATTAACTAAGCTGACTGTGACAATACATAAATATATCAGAAAAAACAAAACAAAAAAATAGGGTTGCCATTTTTTTAATAAGTGGAATAAACTGCACGACGTCGTATTTTCTCGACAGGCATTTCTTTATCTATTCCATGTTATGAACTATATTTTCACTGTAAATGTCAAAAACGCAACACGATATAAAAACAGTACAAATAAGAATTGTAAGAGATAATACATGTTTTGAAAAAGACACACCACATATATACACATACTCACTCACGTTCTTTCACACACACACATTCACTATATACCACTTAAACGCACGCACACACACTCACCACCCACTCATTCATACACTCTCTCCCAATTACACGCACGCACACTCTCTCTCTCTCTCTCTCTCTCTCTCTCTCTCTCTCTCTCTCTCTCTCTCTCTCTCTCTCTCTCACACACACACACACACACACACACACACACACACAATCACGTACACGCAAATTGACCATATGTGGTAACCATAATAAAATGTCGAGAGAAAAATTGTGTCAGCTATATCTGAAAGCGTGGGATTGTAAGGCCTAGTCTCCGGTATATTGAATTATACTACTAATGTGATATATTTTTCAGAGCGATACAAACTGTGCCTGACTGCTGTCTGCCCAAAAATGTAGATTTGTTAGTAAGATGAAAGTATTTGCATGAAATGATTAGCATGCCGTTTGGTACCTACTAAACTGCTTTGTTCATTAATTTGGTCTTTTGATCCTGGTTGCACTGATATATTAACCTGAATGCCGTGTGCTGATAGCGGAGTAGAATATGTTTTCACAACCCCTGTTCTTCTTATAGGAATCCTAAGAGCATACATAACAGAAACTGACGATAACGTCACAAGGTACTGTTTCGTCAAAATTAATAGAAAATGGTGCCCACTGCTGAGCAAAGACCTCTTCTCATACGGAGAAGGTTAGAGCATTAAATCACCACACTTGCTCAATGCAGGTTGTTTGATTTCAAACTTGTAATTAGAAATGATAAGTCCAGGTTTCCTCACGATGTTTTCCTTTACCGTATGTCAGTGGTGTCTAAATAATCATAGAAAGTACATATAACTTGAAAAAAAGTACTATTGAATTCGACTAATTGGAAACGGGTACCTAGTTTTTGTCACTAATTGGAAACGGGTACCTAGTTTTTGTCACAGATTTTTTACTACAATTGCGACAAAGAAAATTTAGTTATTTCATTTTTAAGTTAAATGTCTCAATGTTTGAATAAGCACAAGTGTTACTGCCGAGTATTTTAATACCGGAGTTGGCAGTATTTCAGTCTGATTTGTGGATCAAGCGCAATAATGTAGCAAGACCCCAGTTTGGAGCAGGAGAAGATACGGGGTTTTTTCATAAGTAGGAGTCTGACACTCCTCCTCCCTTTTCAGGGCAATAAAAGTTTTTTGAAGACATCCGTCCCTTAAGAAAAGTCAGTATTTTAAAAATTTCCCAGTAATAATAGCATGGAGACTGAATTGCGTCCAAAGAATGGGAATAGACTCACCTATTTTGTTAAGCACATAAACTTGGAAAATTATTTGTTATACTGTACCTTGTAGGGTATGGAAGTATCACCAGGAATCTTCCGCTTACCATTTCGGCGGTATAATGTACCTACGTACCTATTAAAAGGACATAAAGACCAAAATAAAGAAGCTCTAAAATTAACCCTGCATGACATGTTTAGCTTGTACTAACAAAATAGTAATATTTAATCGCAACTAACTTCCTTGAACCGTGTTTTATGAATCTGATATTCTTCTGGCGCGTCACGTAAGTATGTATCGGCCTTCAAGATTTGCCATTGTAGTATATTATGTGTTTTGGCGCAGATCCGATAACCCATTGCTTGGTTACTACTGACCTTGTCTATTATACTATACTTGTAAACTTAAGGAATTAAAGGCAATTTAACAATACAAAATAATTTATCGAACGAGTAGACTTGGAGATTCGAGTTCAAGTAATCTAAGTCTTCTCCTTTTGAAATATGTAGTGTTTATATATTTTCTAAATACAATATTATACTTACTGGTTTTTACCAAATTTTTATGCATATTCAGTAAGTCTGAGAATCGGCTACTAGCTATTTTTGATACCCCTAAGTGATAAATAATAATATATGGCAAAACAACGTTTACTGTGTCAGCTATGTTTTAGAATAATGAAAAGTTGAAAGATTTTTTTTTAAAGATGATTGATTTTATTTTCTTGGGTCCTTTTACTGCGCGTCATAAACACGCATTCACGCGTTGCGCCTTCGTATTGCGTTCGTCGCTCGCGTACTCTGCGTCAGTGAATAAAAAAGAAAATACCTATATGTAAAGGATTATTCCCTGATCTAAAAATGCATGTTAGAATGTCTTACTAACCCATATTGCCTGTGAATAGTAAAATGGGCATGCTACCCCGGCTTCTGCAAAGGTATGCGCAAGAGTTGATTCCAAATCATAGTGGCGTGACATTTTACTAACTCCATTTAATTTCAAAATGTGTTCCTTTTTTAAATATTTAGTTACTAAGTGTATTTTTTTGTTTATGTTTATAAGTGATTACTTTTATTATTTTTATTAACTTAAGAAGATTTTATTTTTTATTTGTGTATTTTTTTTTTATTATTCTTGTTTATTTGTTTTTTTTCCTTTATCTGTGCAATATGCTGAAACAAGACTCCTTAGATAGCTTCCAAAAATAGTGTATAATATATTCTTAAAACAGCATCTCTATGTATGTGATGCGGTGGCGCTGCAATCGCATTTCATCGTCAATAAATAATGTAATATGTATATCTTATATTATATCTTATTCGTTAGCATGTAATTACTTGACATATTTTATTTTGTAATTGGATTTAGACAGTTTGGAAAGTCTAATACGGAAAAACTTAATAAAATATTATATAAATTAAAGTCTTTTAATATTATACACTATTATTTCCATAAACATGGTGGCATTTTGAACGAGGGACATATTCAACGAGCTGATTTTGGTGCTCAATAACAACAACCTTTTCTATGGGTCTCAAAAATAACTTTATTTCCCCATACGAATCGCAACAGCTGGTTAATCATTTTGCATGGAGAAGTAAAAAATATTTTTGAGATTTTCATATTGATCTTATGGAAAAGGTTGTTTTATTTTAGCTTTAATATCGGGTTCTTTTATATGACCCTCGTTCAAAATGCTCTGTGTATTGACGCTTTTCGCCTTGCCCTGAACATCAAAACCTGAGTTCCATTTTACCCATCATATTCCATGTCCAGGGATGGTCTTGATCTCGATGAATGCGGCGGCCGGATGGTTCTCCGAGTCCTGCTGCAGCTGTGTTCCCAGGGTGCGTCTGCAGCTCTCGTGTCTGGAGCCCTGGCACTCCTATTCCGGCACTTTAGTCAGAGGCAGGAAGTACTAGCTGCGTTTAAGCAGGTGAGACATACATACTATACCGGTGCAATAATAAATATATTACTGTTATTTTTATAACAACCTTTATTTTGATGCTATTTTTTGTCAGTTGACAATCAATTTTACTGTAGGGCTGACGTAGTGGTTACACAACCGGGTTAGAATGTTGTATTAGATCTCTACATATAACGTCATATATTTTTTATAATTCAAATATCTTACTGGTTTTGTTTCTTATAAATTAGCTAAAAAATAACGGAAATGTCACAATATTATCGACAGTTCGATGAATAAAAGTAGGATTTTTCGATATTTTATTGTATAGAAACGTCGTATTAATTAATTTTTTTATGTAATAGGTCGACAAACGAGCAGACGGATTACCTGATGGTAAGCAATCAGCGTCGCCCATGGACACCCGCAACGGAGGAGAGTTGCAAGTGCGTTGCCGACCTATTAGGAGATTTAGGAATTGGAAGAGGGGAAGGATGGGGCCGAAAACCGAAACCTCCCTCATACGGCGAAACACAACGCTGTGGTTGTTTCACGCCGGTATTCTGTGAGGCCGTGGTATCACTCCGGTCGAGCCGACCCATTCGTGCCGAAGCATAGCTCTCCCACACTTAAACAAATTGTGCAATGAGTATTTTAATAAAAAAATAATAAATGATCCTTTGGTTTTAGGTCCAACTTCTTGTGTCTGATGCGGATGTGGAGTCCTATAAGCAGATAAAAGCAGACCTGGACCTTCTTAGACAGAGTGTGGAGAAATCAGAACTTTGGGTGTTCAATAAGGGACGAGCAGTCCTTATTGATGAACATATTAGTAAGTAAAATAGTTTTTTTCATTTTAGATACACGACAATTAGTTAAATAGTGAGTGTGTCTGTTATGTCACGAATGCCCGGTGGTTGAGGCGCCGGCGTCTCATGCACGAGGATACGGTTTCGAAACCTGGCAAGTACCAATGTAACTTTTTCCGATGTATATTTACTTTCTATCATTATTTAGACTCTACTGATAAAGGGTGAAGGAAAAAAATTAACTTATAATTTCTAAATATAAGTTTGAAATCACCAATCCGCCATGAGTGAGCTTTCTGATTAATGCTCAAACTTAATCCGTGTCAGAAGAGGCTTTTGCTCAGTAGTGGCCACGTATAGGCTGATGATAATCACTGAGTAGGTAATTGTAATGTTAAGTACCAAAATCACCCTCCTTCATGACAGACCCGAGCGTACGGCTCGTAGCGTTCCGCGCGCGCCTTTAAGATCCAATAGACCGCGACAGACCCTGTAGGGCTGATGTTCAGCTAGGGTTGCGGGGTAAGCGCAATGAGGCACCGCGACCTCGGCACAGAGCAGGAGAAGGAACGTTTTTAGTCAGTAAGAATCTGACGGCGGGGGCAGGAGAAGTCATTGGATCTTGAAAAAACCCTCCTTCATGAAAGCTATTAAGCAATTGACTTCAAATCTGTTTTTTTTTCACTAGGTGTGACGGGTACGGTCGTAGGCCCGGGCGGCGCTGTACTGGAACGTAATACGTCGCTCGAGAATGTTCTAGATACTTCTAGAACGGCCAAACACGATCACAACGAATATAAGAAAGTTAAGGAGGTAAGATGCCAGTTTTTTATTCACTTAGATATTAAATAGCTCGATAAGGCGCGCTGCGTCATTCATTCGTCGTACATTGCAGTGGAAGATTGCATCATCGACCGTCTAAACATAAACATATGAACATTATTAGCAATGTATAACGAACCGCAAGACGCGCTGCGTGTATTTAAACGAGGTCTTAGTATATACATTTGTAAAAGTATGTACCATAATATACAGCATACAAGTAAAAAGTCTGCAAAAGCAAGTGCGACTGCCAGAGAACATATGAGCCACCATGACTTCCGTTCCGATATTGTAGCGATTTCGATTTTTGAAAGCTCTTAAATATTTTACTATAGAATTTTGATATAACCTCAATACAGAACTTGTCAAAATTTGTGTCACCAGTGAGCTTATCACCTATTAGATAAGTTATTGGAACTTACGTTTGAGTTCTACTTTTCTAGTTTTGACTGCACGGTTGGTGCGGTGGCCGGGCAACTGGCTGCTGTGCAACGTGTCGCGGGTTCGATTCCCGTTCGGAACAACTTTGTGTGATCCACAAGTTGTTCCGGGTCTGGGTGTCATGTGCACGTGAAATTGTATGTTTGTAATCGCACCCATGACACAGAAAACCCTAGTGTGGGGCAAACTAAAAAAGGTTTTTACGTCACTGCAAGAAACTGTAGCCCTTCTTAAACTAGTTAAAACTTCCACAGATCCTCCAGCGGATGATACGGTACTGCACCCACGGCAACAGCGGGGGCGGCGAGCCAGGCGAGTCAGGCCCGGCAGGCCAATCAAGCCAGTCAGGCCAACCAGGCCGCCCTCGCAGACATGAGCAGCGACTGCTTCGGAATATCGCTGTGCACAATATTGTACTGGATCTATTGCAAGTATGTTCTAATGTCCTCGTGTTCTATCCGCTTTACTAAATACCAGGCGAAGAAAAAAAGGGGAAGGGGTAATCAATATATTATGATTAATTTCGTTGTGGGATCTAAGACAGCTCATGTCCCTCGGACGCGCCGGACCGGGTTACGATGTTTTCATGGTTTTATCTACAATAGATCCTGGCTTACGCGAGTTGCAGCAGTCTTGGGAGGTTGTAGTTAGCTTGGCCAAAAATGAGTGAATTTATCATTGAATTTCGAATTGTTTTGCAAACCATATTTATGATTGTGTCGACGATTTATAGAGTCTGGCAAACGAAAGTTTAACCAGAAAAAAAAAACTGTAAAATAAAATCCATTTGTGGTAAAACATAAGTCTTAATACAAGAAGATTAGTTATTCAGATATCTAGTCGTAATATAATCTTTCAAAAATTTTTACCCCAATGTCGTCTTTAATAGTTGACAGGTAATTACTTTTTGACTTGATAGTAAGCAATCAGCGCTGCAAATCGACTCCCGCAACAACGGAGAAGATACGAGTGCGATACCGACCTTTTGAGGATTAGGGATTTGGAGATTTTGGGGGAGTGGAAGCATTGGGCCTCCGGTAACCTCACTCACACGGCGAAACACAATGCTGTGGTTGTTTCACGGTTTTCTATGAGGCCGTGGTATCACGCCGGTTGAGCCGACTCGATAAGCGACTCGATAAAGCGATAAGATAAAGAATACATATACATCTGTATTTTTCGGTATCTAACCGACGATATCCGAACTCATTTACACTTAGACCTTTTTACATTAGTAGCATCTGCAACGCAGGTTCCTCATGATGAAGACGATATGGCGATGGACGAGCTCCTGGCATTAGCTCACGAGTTCCTCCAAAACTTCTGTCACGGCAACCAACAGAACCAGGCGATACTTCACAAGCACCTGGACCTCTTCCTCAATGCTGGAGTTAGTATTACTTCATTTAAATCCACAGCTAAAATAAATTAGTCAAGAACAATTTAACTTTCATTAATTAATTTGAAAATTGAAATTCCCTATGCCATTGTTTATTTTTTGTGTTTATTTTGAAAAGATAAAAATGTCCCCTCCTTTTTCTTGAAGTTTCTCCATGGTTGACGCGGTTGCTGGACAACCGGCTGTCGTGCAACATGCTGCGGGATCGATTTCCGCTTATAAAAACTCTGTTTGAGCCAAATCGTTGTACCTAGTCTCGGTTTAGTTTGTACCTATGTAAATTGTATTATTGTAAACGCACCTAGAACACAGGTGGAAATTTTGTCAATGTTTTAAAACGATTTTCATTTTTTGATTTTACATTTTGTTCTAAGTATTTCAATTAACTCATCAAACCCTCCCGAACGCCGGCGTTAAAATATCGTTATTGATTACCAGATTCGTGAAGCGCAAACAGTGTGCGCCATATTCAAAGACAACGCGGCGCTGTGCGGTCACGAGGGCAACGAGAAGGTGGTGGCCCACTTCGTGCACTGCATCGAGTCCCGCGGCCGCCGCCCCGAGTACCTGCACTTCCTGCAGACCATCGTGCACGCCGACACCCAGTACATACGAAGGAGCCAGGATCTGGTTATGCAGGAGGTAAGCACTATTAGCACTTATACAACCTATTATACTTATACATTATGATAAATTTAATAAATTAACTACAATAATAAAAACAACACTATAATCTATACCTAATACCAATTATAATGTATTTTTACTCAATTAGTTATAAGTTATATAAGCCTACCAACATAAAAATAATGAAAAATTGTAAACATAAACTTCTACTAGCCCTCCTCATAAAAAAATTACTAATATTGTTATGCCCACAATGCTCCGAAACTAATATAAGTATATAAATCCTTATCTACCCTACCACCTAAGTTCACATTGTGGAATGCAACAAATATATTGAGTATTGAGTATTAAAGCCGAAATTTTCCTTGCTTGAGCGGGTCTCTGACACTACCGTTCGTAAAGTCTTAGTTTTCAGTTAAATTCACGTGATAACAAATACGTGAAAACGTTACTATGAATAATTTTATTTTTTACGATAGTTGTAAAATAAATTCATTTTTGTTAAACGTAACTTCGAGCATGATCAATCTATGTGCAGATCAAGGATTTAAAACTAAGTCGCTTTCTCTGTCCCTATATGTGAAACTACGCAAAGGATTTTGATGCGCAAAAAAAAAGAAACATGTTTTAGTCTATGGCCGATGCGCGCATAGGGAAACTGATTAATTTTTCCCGCTCCCTAAGACCTAACAGCAAACGGCTTGGGCCTCATTGCGCCTCATCGATAATCATCAACATTACACACGTGTACCGTAATATACTGTTATTTTTTGCTTCTAATCTCTCTAAAGATGTACAATGCAATTGCACTCTACCAATTTTAAAACTACCAAAATATCTTTGTAGAATAGAGTCAATGGTTGAGGATTGCTCTAATTTATAGCATAGAATCTAAATTATTGAATAAACTGGCTGTGAACCATTGAACTTTTACTATTAAAGAAATTTTAGTCATTTTAAAATTGGTAGAGTGTAATTGCATTTTTGACCCCTGACTGTACATATAAAATACACAATAAAATAATTTTATAATGAATAATCATTGATATTAATTTGTTACAGATGGTAAACGCAGGCGAAGACGTGTTAGTGTTTTACAATGACAAAGTATCGTTCAACAACTTCATACAAATGATGCGCCAGTTCCGGAAGACCAATGAAATGCCGGAAGCGCTCAGGTAACCCAACAAAATTCAACAAATTTTAATTTCAAAATAATCTACTATTATATACATAGTATATGTATATACATAATATATAATAGTCGCTTTCCTTGTCTCTAAAACCTACATCCTAATATATGCCTTGGCAGTTTATATAATACGGTAGTTTCCAACTAGTCAAATTCAATACTTTTATCCAAATGTCAAAAACGATACCTTTCTATGAATATGAAACACTCAGCTATGACGACATAGTATTTTACCGTCAAATAGCTTACTTATAACTTAAAAATTGGCTAAATAATATCTAAAATTTAGTGTATCGATCGATCTATGAATAGAAGTATAGTTATTTTTCAATATTTTATTGTATTAAAACGTCAAATTAATTTATTGTTGACCTAGGAAACTACCCAATTTCCCACTGCTGAGCAAAGGCTTTTTCTCACATGGAGAAGGTATGAGCATTAATCACCACGCTTGCTCAAGGTTATAGGCGATTTCAAACTTATTTTTACCATTATAAGACCAGGTTTCCTCACGATGTTTACCTTAATCGTATGTCAGTGGTGTCTAAATAATCGTAGAAAGTACATATAACTTGGAAAATGTCATATTGGTACTTGCCAGGTTTAGAACTTGCACCCTCATGCACGAGGAGCGCGCGCCTCTTAACCTCCGGAAAACGAATATTTTTTTTTGTTATGATACTAGCTTTTTCCCGCGACTCCGTTCGCGTGGAATAGTGACTTCCAGCAGATTTTTGGTATAAAAACTATCCTATGTCCTTTCTCGAGTTCCAAACTACGTCTGTACCAAATGTCACAGAAATCGATCGAAAGAAAAGACAGGCAGACAGAGTTACTTTCGCATTTATAATATTAGTTTGGATTTATAATCCGTCTGAATATTTTCTTTTTCTTTTTAGGTATCACATACAACTAGTAAAATTGCTGACATGCTGCACGATGGGCAAAAATGTATATACAGAGATAAAATGCCACTCTCTCCTGCCGCTGGACGATATAGTATCCATGATCACACATCCTGACTGCATACCCGAGGTAAGATCTGAGATAAGTGCTTAATTGAAAAAAACTATGTGGTATCTCGCTCTTTTTTCATTGGGACGCCTATAATTTCACACGGAAAGAAAGAAGTACGAATGCAATAAAGATAGTTGTAAAAGTGATTCAACAATACAAAATTGTTATCTATACTTATACATACAACATTATAAAGCTTTTGAGTTTGTTTGTTTCTTTGTTTGAACGCGCCAATCTCCGAAACTACTGGTTCGAATTGAATTTGTTTTTGTATTCGTTAGTGCATTTATCGAGGAAGGCTACAGGCTATAAAACATCACGCTACGACATGCAGAGATACAGAGCCGAGCTGAATAGCCGAGCAGAATATCCAGATAAATAGTAAAAATAAAAAACATATAAATAGAAACAAAAACCATTTTGGCATATGTCCATGCCAAAATGGTTGCCTTCTAAATATAACTTGAGCGCAATAAGGACCTGCTGGCCTTCAGGGACTTACCTTTACCTTACCTTAATTTTTTTCTATTTTACCTTGGTTTTAAATCTTTTGTTCGGCCTTTGGCCATTAACTCTTTCAGGTAAAAGAAGCATATGTGGGCTTCCTGAACCATTGCTACATAGATACAGAAGTGGAGATGAAGGAGATCTACTCCAGCAACTACATGTGGGACCTCTTCGAGCGATCCTTCCTGCACGATATGCAGGCCATCCTGCAGGGAGAGAATGCTCATGCCGCTGGTACGTGCCGAATATATTATTGAGATCTTTAATCGAATATAAAATTGGGTAGTTTCCTAGGTCAACAATAAATTAATTCGACGTTTCAATACAATAAAATATTGAAAAATAACTTACTTTTATTCATAGTAACTTTTAAGAAGAATAAGTAAGCTTTTATACAATGACGTCATAACTCAGTATTTCATAGGGGCCGTCCATAAATTACGTGAGATTTTTTTTTATTTTCTGCCCCTCCCTCCTCCCGTAGTGGGATGTCGTGTGATTTTATTCAACCCCCATCCCCGAAACTCATGTGAGATTTTTCAAAATGTGAGTTTCTTACGTAAACGCGTTGGATTGTTATTGTAAAAAGAAAAAAAAAACATTTGCATCGTCCTTTTATTAGTAAATGATCTTAATCGTACTACGATTACGCTTAAGATTAAATCTTAAGCATGTACAATCTGGATTAAATAGACCAAACTAATATATTTTTTTGTTTAAATCAGAAAAAGAATTCCGGGATATTTGCCGAGACTCTCTCCAACGTAAGATTAGATGAGATTTGACTCGATCCCCTACCCCCCTTAAACACTTCACGTAATTTATGGACGCCCATACTCAAAGAAAGGTATCGTTTTTGACATTTGGATAAAAGTATTGATTTTCACTAGTTGTAAACTACCGTATTTTCTGAATTAATATATGTATAGCTTATTGGTTAAGTGGTATGTGGTTCCTTTTGCTCGTTCTTCTCCATCTGAATCTTGACTTTGGAACGAGCAAATAGCTTCACTAAAAGGACCAGCCGATAGACTGACTTTTTGATTTGATAAATAAAAGAGAAAGAAAGATAATTGCCCGTTTTTTTGTCTTATTGAAAAGAATTTAATAAATAATATAATATAATATAATATAATAATAAAGCCGGCGGGCTCCTATTTGTATATTTTTAAATATAATTTATAGCAACTATTATTTTTTAAGAGTTATTCAAATAAATTTGTGTCATAACAATTTTATTGAACGTTCCAGTTCCAGGTCCATCGTCAGAGGTTCCCTCAACGTCCCGGAAGCCGCCTCAGGTGGGCACCCAGAAGGCCTGGGTGAATTACGTCACGGATGTGCTCATGCACACCATATGTACCTTCTTCAATTCTCCGTTCAGCGACCAAAGCACTACTGTGCAGGTGAGACTTACTACTAAAGCCGGGTTTTCACAGTAAGAGTTGGCTCGGACCGAGTGCACTCGGATATCTACTCGTATCATGCAAACGCGTAATCCGAGCGCACTCGGACACCAACGTCTAAATCCGACTAGACTCGGACTCTGCTCTCTTTTTCGAGCTCACTCGGATCATTTGAATGTACTCTGTGGATCATTTTTATGTAAACAATATGGCGACAATAAACCGCTATCCGTGTATACTTGTACGAAGTTGGCTCGTATCGAGTGCACTCGATGTCTACTCGGATGCTACTCGTATCATGTAAACACGTAATCCGAGCGCACTCGGACACCAACGTCTAATCCGACTAGACTCGGACTCTGCTCTATTCTTCGACCTTACTCGGATCATTTGAATGTCCTCTGTGGATCTTTTTTATGTAAACAATATGGCGACAATAAACCGCTATCCGTGTATACTTGTACGAAGTTGGCTGACCCAACTCTTACTGTGAAAACCGGGCTTAATATAATAAAGAGGAAAAATTTTAGTTTGTATGTAGGGAGTAATCTTTGGAACCGCTGGTCGGATTGCCAAAATTCTTTTACTGATAGTTAGCTACAATGTTCCTGAGTGCTATAGGCTAAAACATCACGCTACGATCAAATGGAGACGAGCAGCCGATGAAACCGCACGAGAGTAGCTAGTTCTGTATAATAAAAAATGGTTCGGACAAGTTACATCCATAGTGGGTTAGTATCAAAAATCTTAGAACAATGTTAGTAAAGCGTTTTTGCGATCTAGAAATTTTGACTGACTGACACGGACTGATGTTCATGTAAAGTAAGTTTAGGAGAGTTGTGCTTCGGCACAAATAGGCTGGCTTGACCTGAGAGTCTCAAAGAAGACTGGTGTGATACAACTACAGTGCTGTGTTTCGGTTTTTCACCAGACCAGATTACCATCGCCAAGTCTCCAATTCTAGAAATCTTAAATCCGAAAAGGCTGGCAATACACTCGTAACTGTTGTCTATGGGCCGCACTCATTGCTTATAACTACGTTATAAATTAGCTTGTATGCCGTATCAGATAAATTAAATTTGATAGAATGAAAATTATAATTTACACATAAAATGATAATATCCGCAATTTTTAGCATTACTCACAATTGAGTTTAATTATACTATATTTTAAATAAATGTGTCTTTGCTTTAGAAATCCAGGCAAAAAACGATGGACACGCCGTCTATATAATTTTCTAGATAGGTTTACAAAAAAGGCTAGTCTATTTTGGATTTACGAAAATAAGTATCAGTAATTTATGTGTTTATGTAGTAAATTAACCAACCACGGTACTGTTTCATTGCTGCTTGGATTAAAAACAACCTTCAAGTAAGTATAAATAATAGGAATAATAAGTTTAAGTATAAATAAAACTTTTATCGGGTGTGTTAAAAAGTCCTAAGATTGAACACTTGAGAGATTTATATAGTAGTGGGTACGTTAAGAATAAAAGCTTAGAATTTATGGTCACATATACTAATATTATAAAGAAAAGGTTTGATTGTTTGTTTGGATCGAAAAGGTTCCAAAACTACTTGACTGATTGAAAATGATAAGCTACATTATCCCCAGTGATCATAGTACGGTAATGAAAGTGCTGGGCACAGCTGTAGTTCAAACTTATCAGTTCAATCGGTACATGCCAGGTTTCGAATCCGCAACCTTATGCATGAGAAGCGAGATCCGTACCTCCGGGCCGCCACGTGTTTTTCACCAAATAGTGGAACTTATTTTAATTCCCGAATTGTATGGTACTGATGTAGGTATACTTAATCTGACCAAGAAAATCAGTCTAAAGCCACGACACTAAGCGGAAGAAGCTACGTGCAGAAGCTAGTACATAATAAAAAGTTTCCTTCTGTTCTCTCGTAGACTCGACAGTCGATCTTCGTGAAGCTGCTGCAGACCACGTTCAGTATATACCAGTGTCCCTGGCTGACTCCGCCACAGAAGCTCAACGTCGAGAAATGTATACGTACACTCAGCGAAGTTGGTAAGTAATGAGAAAAGCTCAACTAGTTTCAAGTCACAACGGGACTCTTATTGGAGTCGAATGACGATGAATTGAGTGGGTCAGCTCGACCGCAGTGATACCACGGCCTCACAGAAAACCGGCGTAAAACGACCAGCGTTGATTCGCCGTGTAATTGAGGTTACCAGAGGCCCGATCCTTCCCCTCCCCCAATCCCTGAATCTCCAAATCCCTAATCCCCAAAAAGTCTGCAACGCACTCGTAACTCCTCTGTTGTTGCGGGTGTCCATGGGCGGCGCTGATTGCTTACCATCAGAAAATCCGTCTGCTCGTTGGCCGACCTATCAAATGAAAAAAAAACAAGATTAAATCACTCCGATCTTTGTTTGCAGCCAAAACTCGAAGCATAGCCATCCCCTTGGAGCTGGAAGCCAAAATCCAGACGGTGTTCGAGAAGGCGGCCGCCCTGTCGCGCCAGACCAGCAAGTGGCTTTTAGCCTCAAAGACATCGAAGCTTGAGAAGATGGCATCACAAGTATGTTACAGCATTTTTTTATCCCATAGAACAATCTTTACGGACCCATATGCTTGAGAATCGCCCTAACCTTCTGGCCGCTATGAGCTTTGTAATTTTTTTCAATGTTGAGTGTAAGCCGTAGCATGACCATTTTCCTTGTGTTTATAAGAACAATATAATGTTCTAGGCACATACGTCACACATCATCAGCCTATATGTGCCTACTGCTCTACAAAGCCCAAATTAATGGTTAAACCTTCTCACAAAAAGAAAGTTTAAGCATTAATCACCAGGCCTGCTAAAGGCGGATTGGCGATTTCAAACTTATGATTCGAATTTATAAGTCCAGGTTTCCTCACGATGTTTTCCTTCACCGTTTGTAAGTGGTGTGTAAATAATCATAATAGAAAGTATATATAATTCAAAAAAGTCACATTGGTACTTGCGAGGTTACGAGAAGTCGGCGCCCTAACCTTGTTCTAGGCGAACCTCCAGAACGACAGGTCGGTGATGGAGGGCCTGCAGGAGATAGTGGCGCTGCTGGAGGAACAGCTGCGGCCGCTGCTGCAGGCGGAGCAGTCGCTGCTGGTGGACATCCTCTACAAGCCTCACCTGCTGTTCACTGGCCACGGGGATGCCGCCCACGCCGACACTAGCGGGATTTTCATCTCTAGGTAAAATGTCCCCCCATCGGCGGTAGCGCCTTCTCCAAGACACAAGACAAGCCGCCCCCCCTCCACCCTCTCCTACCCTATGTGGATCGAAAGGGAGTGGGGCAGATCCTCCCTTCACAATTGAGGATGAGGAACTTTACACCCTGTTCTCTCATACCTCCAAAGTCTAATACGTCCATTGTTGAATTAGCCATCTAGATTTTGCAAAAGTAAAATATATATTTTTTCCTTAGACTAATCCGTCACACAGAGAAACTTCTAGAAGAAAAGGAAGAGAAGTTATGTGTCAAGGTATTGCGCACTCTACGTGAGATGATGGCTGTGGATCCTGAATACGGAGAGAAGGTAAACTTTTTTGAGGATATTTTGCAATATGAAAGAAAGAAAGGAAGAAACATTTATTTCTGCGCAAGCGCACACACATAGAAATCTTATTTGCATATGGTAGTTTCTAACAAGTCAAATTCAATACTTTTTTCCAAATGTCAAAACGATACTTTTCTATGAAATTCGTATGAAACTCCAAATTATGACGTCATAGTATTTCTGAGTTAATAGATTATTTATTTCTTAAATTATTTCTCAAATATATCGAATTTTGTGTATCGACAGATCGATGAATAAAACTATAGTTATCCAAACTAATTTTATAAATGCGAAAGTAACTCTGCCTGTCTGTCTTTTCTTCACGCTTAAACTTCTGAACCGATTTCGTGAAATTTGGTACAGATAGTTTAGAACTCCAGAAACGACATAGGATAGTTTTTATACCAAAAATTTGCAGGAGCCACTATTCCACGCGAACGGAGTCGCGGGCAAAAGCTAGTTTTTTAATATTTTGTTGTATATAATGTATGGAATCTACCCAATTTTAATGAACAATGATTGCTAACTCCAACTCCTTATTTGTCGTCTCCAGGGCAACCAACTCCGCTCGAAGCTGTTATCCCAGTACTTCATCAATCGTAAATCCGAACCCAAGATCATGCCCCCTCCGAGTTCTGTCACCGTCACCCACGGACCAGGTGGTAAGTAACCTGTCAAGGTTTTGATCATGCTGGACTTACGGTAGAAGGCTTGAAAGGGGTGGGGATTCGGGCAGTTAGTCATAAATGAACTTAGATTGGATAATTTGAGGGATTAGCAGTATTATTATACTTACAGTATTTATTTCCTTTGTGAAAAATCAAAACTGTTTGGTTGCACTATCTTTGCATAGGTTCAGAAAAGTTAACAGTTTCAATTAGGGTTGCCAGACCACCGGGAGGTCCGGGATTGCCAATTTAATTTCTTGTTCCGTGTCCAGTATTTTTAAGATTTTTAATAAAATAAAATACTAGGTATTTTACAATGAATCATGAATGAGATCGGGACGGGCCGGAGTGTTTACATTTGTATTAAAATGCCAAAAGCTAGACTTCTTTTTTGTTAGATTACCATTATTCCTCAAATAAAGGTCTGCAAGCTGTAACGAGGTGTAAAAAAAAAGAATTTAAATATCAAATATGAATACTTTGATAAAAATACATGTCATTTTTATTATGAAAAGAATTTTTTGAATTTTCTTTCGAATTGTCCCGGATTTCGTATCTTACTATCTGGCAACCCTAGTTTCAATAGAATTTGAGTCGTAAATAAACGCAGAACAGGGATGTATATTGTATACACCGCTAAATTATGATCCTATTAAATTCTGTGGAGGGTCGTTACAGTAAAATAGTGTCAAATTAGCTTGCACAGTTAGAATTAGTTGATAGCACTCTAAATACTAGTTTAACGTTAAATTTATTAACTGTCTTTTTCAAAGGGAAAGTTTAATTGTAATTTATTATTATTATGAACTAGCGACCTGCCCCAGCTTCGCATGGGTGCAAAAAGAGTAACCATGGAGTTTCTTGCTCGTTCTTCTCCATCGGAATCTACACTTTGGAACGAGCGAATAGCTTCACTAAGAGGACTAACCGACAGACTGACACTTTATATCTTTAAAGTTGTGTTGACGTTCAAAAGTGCCTGTATGGGTCTAATTGAAATAAATGATTTTGACTTTGACTTTGACTTTGCAATGCTGATACAAAATGTCTATTCACTATTGAATTTATATTATTATACATATAAAATCTCCTCTTCAGTCACTCTATTAAAAAAAACCGCATCAAAATCCGTTGCGTAATTTTAAAGATTTAGCATACCTACATAGTGATATAGGGACAGAGAAAGTGACTTTTTTATGTAATAGATCGGCAAACGAGCAGACGGATTACCTGATCGTAAGCAACGGAGGAGAAACTGTGATGCCAGCCTTTGGGGTTCGCAATGAGGCACCGCGACCTCGGCCCAGAGCAGGAGAAGGAATGAGGGGGTTTTTAGTCAGTAAGACTGATACTCTCTGCCGCCTGACCCCGGGAAAAGTCATATGATGGTTTTCCCCTCACAAAAAAAGCCTTAGAGATTTTAGGATCGTCGCTCACAGATATCCGTAATGTGATAAAAGCTGAAACTGTGATGCCAGCCTTTGGGGATAGGGATTTGGGAACCGAACAGGGGTACAACACAAAGCAAAGAAGTGAAAACTTTCCCTTTGAAAAATATTATAACTTTCATATATGGCGACACTAGACTGGTTCATTGTATTCGTGATAGGATTTAGTTGACAAGGATAGCAGCAGCATATCAGTTTCAATAACGAGTTAATTACATATGTCATAAGGTTGCTTCTACTACTTTTGATTGATGCTCTGCTAACCGAAATTTTAGTTATAAAAAGATGCCTTTGCTATAAAAGTGGGTTTTTGAGTTTAAAAAACCAAAATTTGTAGTGCTTTGCAGAAGTCATTAATTCTAAAATTAAAGACTGCTAACTCTAATTGCTGTTGTGTGTAAGAACCGGTTGTAAGACAAATTTACATTAAGTCTTACAACCGGTTTCCGGAAGGCCGATCAATGTTAAAATCAATTTAATCTTTTGTCAAGTCATATCATAGGTTGACTGAATTATCAACAACCAATCAGATGAATTGACAAGAGATTTAACAGGAGATTAGTTAATTTTAGCGTTGACAAGCTTTTCAGAAACCGGGTGTTAGCTTTATAACTGCTAGATTATAAATCATCAAAGTTTTACATAGATTTGATGACATAGATGGCGCCACTGTGCAAAATAGTCTCCCCTTAGCAATTTTGAGGATTTCTTTTTATTCTATGTGGACTTGAAAACGTTGTCGATCTTTCATAGTAAAGGCATCTTAAGAACATAACACTTGATAGATTTAGATGTAGAAATCTGTATCGTTTATTTCTCACCGCATGCGACGCAGAAAGTCATCCGCTGAAGATGAAGACAGGTGGGTTTATGCCACTAGGCGGTACTTTTGGTACAACTTTATACACCAGTGTTATATGTGCACGACGTCTCTCATACATTGCTTGGCATATTTAGATATAAATATAATTCATTCGGAACTGTAGCCTAAACTACTGAACCGATTTATGTCATAGGATAGTTACTGTTTTTATAACAAAAATCTGCAGGAAGTCACTATTCCACGCGAACGGAGTCGCGAGCGAAAGCTAGTACCAAATAATCGAAAAGTTTGTAAAGCGCCAAAGGTTAAGGCAATAAATGGTAAAACAGTTCGTATTCGAGTAAATCAATTCAGCTTCTAACAATAACCTAACACACAAGTCTAAGCCTAGACATTGCCAAGACGTGACCTGGATATAGTCATACTTTTCAAATTGATGCCCACCTCTCACTCAATGGTCTGTCACAGGATCCTACGTTGGAATAATTATTACCATTAATTTTACTCTTATTGTCTTATGATTAACAATGTTAAATATGCCAAGCAATAAATAATTGATATAAATATCTATCTATAAATATATATTTAAAGCAACACTGTACGTATACATGTCTTTAAAAGCTTTTTTTATTGAACTTTATTAATTTAATTATATGAATATTATTTGAATTCACATAAATGTTGGAGATACTTATAATCTTTTATCTACGTATGTATACATGGTGATCTTTTATATGTCGAATGAAGTTTTTATTGTATTTAATGGTACATTTACTATTGAACTTTGCCGAGACTTGGCAAGCGTTCACAACCTCCAAGCGTGTGAACAGGGTGTGTGGCGTGGTTCACAGGAGCTCGCAGGAGCTTTCGTGTCCGTTTTTAAACACAGATCGAAGGATCGTTGGGGATGTGTAAGGGCTTGAACCTTGTGAACGTTTGCCAAGTCGCGGCAAGCGTGTAATCGTACCATAATATTAGGATATAGTCAGGAATCTGTTTGTATAAACATCATCCTGTATACATTAAACCAATCACCCCTTGCGCACGTAAGCCCACCTAATCAGTTGCTTTTTTGCTGTATCCATATTTCTTTTTTTTTATACCTATTTCATAGAATAGCATTTATTTAACTTAAAAACCTGTACGATTCGTGCTACATATTTTCTATGTATTAAAAAAATATGATCAGAAATTATTTCGTCCTGTCCAAAGAGAGTTACATTATAAATTATATAATGTTATTAGTCCCATTAACGAGAATTGGTCTTTTAGTATAAAAAAATAGAGCTTATTGTCCGCAAATAGAATTTATTTTCCAAAAAAAATTGAATCGTGTTTCCTTATACATATATTGAATGCCTTTATTGATAGATGATTCGTGTCAAGTATAAATTTAAATTATTTTATCGCCCTATACCTTGGATGTATTTGCCTTTAATATTGTGCCTCTGTATATTATTCATTGCGTATCCCCAAGCTTTTTAACAATGAATTTGCTAGCCATTTTTTTGTAAGTTGAGTTCTGTACGATTAATTTAGTTTTAAACTTGTTACTGGATTTTCTGCTTCAACTTATCGTGATGTACCTAATATATAAAGGCATATTTTTCCATGACGGGTTGGCAAAAGTATTTTTTTTTTATTTTCAGAAAACTCAATAAAATTACTGTTTGTTAATATATTGTAAATTATACTCTATACCATAAACCTCTATATGAGATGGTTTGGACCATAATCACTGCACCTGGCGTGTTGAGGATTGCAAAACTTAACCAATAGGTCACTACAGATGGGGCCCAATGCTTAGCCGGAGTCGCGGGTAAAGCGCACTAAGGTACCGCGGCCTCGACCTAGAGCAGGGGAAGGAAAGGGAAGGTTTTTAGTCATTAGACACAGTCTGAGACTGTCTCTCGCCATAACCTGGGCGAGAGAAGTCATTTAATGATTTTGCCTCCAACAAAAAAGCGATTGCAAACTTTAATTAATAACGTGGACAAATATGTTCTGCCCCGTCTGTAAACGACCAATTAATAATTTTAGTATCTGTAAGTTACTTTTCAGTACACAAGTTTCAAACTAATTAATCGTACGGAACGCTAAACTTCCAGCTATGTTATTTATCTGCTTACGCTTATCTAGCGAAAGTGCTGCTGAGGACTGGGCAGACCCTGGCTCAAGTACAGGCGCACCTGGACAAGGAAGGAGCATCCGATCTCGTGGTAGACTTGGTCATCAAGAGTACCAATCGACAAGCTATCTTCCTAGAGGCTATACAACTTGGTGAGTTCACATAAAGAATATGTTTTTAGACTATATGTTTCATGTAATTTGGCCGACTAATACAGGGTGTAAAAAGACACTTAACGAAGCCGTTAACTACGCATACTGCAGTTCTAACTAAGTAGCTTTACGCTAAAATTATCCCTGGGAAACGACTTTTATTTTTAGGTATCAAAAAAAAAAAAAATATTGCGCGCAATGTAAAGCAAACGGGCTTCGTGTCATTGTGTGCGTAGGTTCACAGCTTAGCATTAAAACGCTGTGATAAGTACGTAGGTCGACGTTTTACTTCGCAGCAACAAAACAATTCTGTAAAATAAAAATCCTACTGAGATGCACGATGTTTTTTGTGCGGGTCTGCATTTATTTATTACGTACATTACTGTTCGTAACTTCAAATGCGTAATTTATTTAGAAAAATCGAAAATTCAGGTAATAAATAAAAAATAAAAATGCATCTTTGACCTTCAATATCTCGAGAACCCGTAGAGTCCCAGCTATGGTCTTAAAGAAAAAAATGATCCAAATAATAGGTAGAATACGTGGCTTTCGGCTTCGTTAAGTGTCTTTTTTAAAAAAAAAATTTTACAAAATAAAAAAACCGCCTTAATTTTTTTTATTTGTAGCCGTTTAGTGTTTTTTTTTATTATAATGTGTTATGGCAAAGAAGTCAATATCGTTCCTACATTTCTTTTGAAAAAGTTACCAATGTCATACTTATACGTAGAAATACATATCATAGTACATTGTTACTGTGTAATCGTTTTGATCTCGAGGAGAGATGATATGATGCATGAGATACTTATGACTTATAGTTAAAAAAAAAAAAAAAACTTATCATAAATTCATATTAGTTCTCGCCAAATAACAAAAAACTAGATATTTTCATCAACAGACAGATAAAGTTCAAAGATACCAAATGCAATCTAATTTAGTATCTATGATTAAATACATTCGTACATAGAAAAAAGACCGATGCAATTATTGTTTTGTATCAATTGTAACCCATTAAATGAAGAATACTATTTTGTTATTACTAAGAACATTCATATATAGACAAGTTGGTAAAAATACAAAAGACCATCGCTATTGTAAATATACATTTATGAGTCATTCAATGTATGAACCTTTTTTAAGTAAGTATTATCTACATATGTGCACACAAAAGAAACACAATTATTGTTTTGTACGACGCAATTATTGTTTTGTAACCCATTTAAAACGACTGTTTTGTTAAAAATGCCAATGAATTCTCTTAGCCTATTACCAGGAAAACGATAAGAACACAATGACGCATTTCACCACTAATGTGTAAACGCAGTCCACGTGGACTAATGCAAAATAGCCAATACTAGGCCAAACTCCGCCCCCAAAGGTGTGCGGTCCCGCTCTAGAACCTTTCGGCCCCATCGGCCATCTGTTCTACGAGCAATGTGCCGTGCCCACTGTCACTTAAGTTTGGCATTTCTTCGGGCTATGTCGGTGACGCTGGTTCTTCTGCGGATTTCTTCATTTCTGATTCGAACATGCACGGAAACTATGAGCATAGTCCTTTCCATTGCTCTTGACAGCTCTAATAAGCTTATACAATACTAGGCCCCATGCCAACCTTCCAGCTTCATCATCACATCAGTTCAATAGTACCTTACAGCCAAAGTGCATCTTAAAACAATTCTAACAAGCCCAAACACGGCTAGGATATATTAATTAGGTACGCAGTTCCAGTGCCTACCTTCCAGCTCCATAATCATCATTAAATCAGTTCGATGATAACATTTCCAACATAATTATTTAAGATCATTGGTTTACAGTGCATTTTCATAGTTGCTGAACTACCTTGATTGTGATATCTATGCGAGTGTCAAGTTTCATCACCCATTTCTGATCTTCTTCACCAGTTCCACCCCATCAAATATTACTTTTTGACTGTAAATGCTTGAGTGCTGTATGAAAATATTAAAATTACTATATAGTTGCCTATAATATTTGAGGAGTTCCCTCGATTTCTCATGGATCCCATCATCAAAACTCAATTTTGAAAAGAATGGGACCAATCTGGAAGCATATCCTTTCAATCATAAAAAAAATTTTGCAAATCCGTCCATAAACGACGGAGTTCTGAGGTAACAAACATAAAAAAAAAAATAAAAAAAAAAAAATACAATCGAATTGAGAACCTCCTCCTTTTTTTGAAGTCGGTTAAAAAGAATTTCACATACCTGCTTAAATTCGGATACTTGATTCCAATTTCACATAAACACGAAGTTGTTCGAAGGTTACCCAGCTACCACGCCAACCGTGCAGGCAAACAGTTAAACATCTTTAAAGCTTTGTTCTACATTAAATCTTATGGTTGAGGTCCTATGGAAATGTCGCAACTGTATTTTTGTACGCAGGCATCGCGCTCCTCGAGGGTGGCAATCCCATAATTCAACACAGCATATTTACCAAGCTGCAAAATGGTGAAATTTCGCAAGCATTCCTAAAGGTAAGTCCTTGTTACACTATTGGTATTGATACCTAATCCGTCAGGTCATTATTATATTAGCCACCAAGGTCACTGTTCATAGGTAGCTAGCTGCGTAAACTAAATTGTTGCTAATATTATCTTACGTAATCAAATTATATCTTGTTCCCACCAATCCCACCACCTCTCTTAGAATACCTTCAACGAAAATCAATTGGATTTTTGGAGACTCGGCCGCGACTCCCTCTCATAAATTAGACACAGAAACCTGGCGTGGAACAGCCACAGCGTTGTGTTTCACCGGATGAGTGTTACCGGGGACCTAATCCTTTTTCTCCCTCAATCCCAAATGTCCAAATCCCTAATCCCCAAAAGATATGCAACACACTCGTAACTCCTCCGTTGTTGAGTGTGTCCATGGGCGGCGCTGATTGCTTACCATCAGGTAATCCGTTCACTCTTAAGTAGAAGCCATAATCCACCTAAACGGCCTCTTACCAAACGATGTTCCTATCAAATTTGGACACAACTATCCATGGTCAATATTGTTTTATCAGGTATTCTACGATAAAATGCGTGAAGCCCAGCAGGAGATCAGGTCACTGGCTGCCAGCAGTACCTCTGCAGCCAGCACTGAGAAGCAGCGGTCTAGCTACTCAGAAATCAAGAAGCCTGCCACTGGTGACGGTATGCCATTATCAACTCTATTGTTTAGCTAATAGTAGTAAATTATGGGACAAGTGTGTAACATTGGTGATTAGAAAAAAAGAAAGAAAGTAAAATATTTTATTTCACGCTAAAAAACAAGTGACATGTGCATACAAGTACTTAAGACATTCTGTTTGGAAATATTAATGGATACATGTTCATGGCCCAAGTCTCCCGTGAAATGGCCTTGCGCTGGTATTCTACTGGCCCCTTGAGAGACTTGCGGTCGAATCAACAATTAAAATTAAGTTAATTAGAACAAATATAATAATTTTACAAAATAAATAAAGAGATAAAAAACACAGCCGGGTAGTTACATATTATATTGAATATTTTTTCCCTTACAAGCGACAGAAAAAAAAAAACAAAAAAAAATTGACCAACCTTATTAGCAACAAAAAAAAATTTATACATGCCATGGGATTGGGATAAAAATGGCGATACAAAGCAGGCAAAATAGCGACATTACGCCATGGGCCATTAAGTAGGATTAATTAGCCGAGGACGATAATCATCAATACACACGTGTATCATACGACTTTTTTCAACACACTTCTGAATAAAATAATACATAAGATGTTCAGGGCTTAGCATCAAAAATCCTACAAATTGAATTGTTTTTAGAAAAGTTCCAATATGACATTATTTGTATAACTGAACATTGGTTAAAAGATTATCAAGTAGAATCAATTAACTTCAATAATTATTGTGTTGGCAACTATTATAGCCGCCAAGAAATGATACATGGTGGTAGCTTGATTTTAGTAAAGAATTCAATAAAATATAAAGAAAGGCAAGACATTGCACTGCTATCAATTGAGCACTCAATAGAGTTGTCCTGTGTTGAACTGGATAGGCATATTGTAGTATGTGTTTATAGGCCTCCTAACATACAGAATTTAAATATATTTTGCTCAGTAATGGAAGATGTATTACAGAAAACATGTTCTGGTAATAAGTATACAATAGTTTGTGGCGATTTTAATGTTGATCTCTTAGAAAACAACTCTTATTGTACAAACTTATTAGGTCTCTTTAAATCTTTTGATTTGTCTAATATATTCCTTGAGCCCACCCGAGTAACATCCACCTCGGCAACTTGTATAGATAATATTTTTTGTAACTGTGATTATTTACATAATGAAATTGTAAACAGATTACCATCTGATCACAGTGGGTTAACAGTCAACTTTAACACTTTTAAAACTGTGGCAACTAAGGAAATTATATTCAGACAGATAACAAATAAAAAAATTGAGTCATTAAATAACAACTTAAAACATAAATTATGCAGCCCATTACAAGACAAGGAATGCCCGAGTGAGATCTATGCTAACTTATTATCCATAATAAAAATGCAGTTCGACAAAATGTTCCCCTTAAAACGTAAAAATATCCAGTGTAAATTTTTATTCTGTGACTGGGCTACACCAGGCATTCGTATAAGTAGAGAAAAATTATTTGAGCTATATGGCATGAAACCATTTAATAAGAGTGAGGCTTTTCGTAGGCATGTCTCCAAATATTCAAAAATATTTAAATTAGTTTGTAAGCATGCTAAATCGCTCTATATTAGCAGTAAAATCAGAACCGCGGAAAATAAAATAAAAGCTACCTGGAGTATAATTAATAATGAAACAGGTAGGAACAAATCTAATAACACAGAATTTAATTTAAAAACCGAAAAGGGATATACTAGTACAAATTCGTCAGTTGCCCAGGAATTCGAAAATTTCTTTAAAAATATTCCTCTCAAAACTACGGAAACCTTGAAATCATCTCCAGCACTTGCGGTCGAGCTTCTCAGAAGTAACGTCAAAGAATGTCCTGCGGACTTTAGGTTTAAACATACAAACCCCCAGGCAGTAATAAAGGCGTTTAAAGATATCAAAGTAAAGTCCACTGAAAATCTCTGGGGAATGTCGGTTAGAGTGTGCAGGTCTTTTATAGAGACTATAGCGCCTTACTTAACTTTAATTTTTAATAAAAGTGTAGATCAAGGGGTTTTCCCCGATTTAATGAAACATAGTAAAGTAGTCCCATTACTTAAATCAGGTGATAGTACAGAAAGCAATAACTATAGGCCGGTCTCTATTTTGCCAGTGCTCAGTAAAGTGTTTGAAAAGTTGATACTTACTCAAATACTGCGTCACTTTAACGCGAATTCTATTTTCCATGACCAACAATACGGGTTCACTAAGGGACGTTGCACTACGGACGCAGGAGTATCGCTTATAAAACAAGTTTTCAAATCGTGGGAAAAAGCACAGGATGCCATCGGAATATTTTGCGATCTTTCGAAGGCTTTCGACTGTGTTGAGCACGAGACACTATTACTGAAGCTGCAACACTACGGCATTCGGGGGGTATCCCTAAATTTATTAAAGTCATACCTTCTAGAAAGACTACTTACAGTACAAGTAAACAGAGTAAACTCACAGGGTGCTAGCGTATCTATGGGCGTACCGCAGGGCTCAATATTGGGTCCATTCCTATTTTTGGTTTATGTCAATGATCTGCCCCATTTATTCCAAAGTGAACCGCATATGGTATTATTCGCTGATGACACATCCTTGATTTTTAAATTAAATAGACGATCAAATAACTATGACGAAGTGAATAATGCCTTAATGAAAGTTCATAATTGGTTCACAAAAAACAACTTAGTACTTAATGATAAAAAGACGAAATGCATTAGATTTATTTTGCCAAATGTTAAAAGTAACGTATGCGATGATATATTATTAAATGGAAGATGTCAGAAACTTGAATTTGTAAAGGAGACTACATTCTTGGGGATTACTGTAGACGACAAGCTGCAATGGGGGCCCCACATTAGATCTCTAGCAGGGCGGTTGAGCTCGGCAGCTTATGCTGTCTGGAAGATCCGTCAGCTAACTGACGTAGGCACGGCGCGACTAGTGTACTTTAGCTACTTTCCCAGCATCATGTCGTATGGAATTCTGTTGTGGGGACAGGCATCCGACATTGAGTCTATCTTTATCTTACAAAAGCGTGCCGTCAGAGCTATCTATAACTTAGGTCGTCGCGAATCTCTCAGAGAAAAGTTTAAGGAGATCAACATTATGACCGTACCATGTCAATATATTTATGAAAACATTATGTATGTTAGGAAAAACCTACAGCTATTTGTAAAAGTATCTGACAAACATGGCTATTTTACTAGACATAGAAATAGATTGAGTCAGCCTTTATTTAGATTAGCAAAAGTGCATAAGTCGTTCATGGGATTATGTGTTAAATGTTATAATAAAATCCCAACTGAAATACAAAATCTTAATGAAAGTAAATTTAAATTATGTATAAAGAAATTATTATGTAGGAAAGCATACTACAAACTAAACGATTATATAGAAGATAAAAATGCTTGGAGGGTGGCTGGTTTGACTGCACAGGATAAAAATTGTTAAGGTTAAGAGGGATTTTGATCTCCATTATTAAATTATTCACCATGTTGTTAATTGTTGATAAGTTGGATTTTTGTAAATGTGAGAGCCCTGTAACTTATTATAATTGAGTTAGACTTATAGTATATTGGTACTTGTGTCAGTTGGGAGTTGTCATTCTCACTCAGGAGTCTCATTGGCGGTGGCACGGGCACTGGACCGCTCGGTTCCCTATAATATGGTTGAGTTGGGCGGTGCTGGTGTACGTGTCATGTTCGTGAACGGACGCCGTCTATTGGGACTGGTCAACTCGAGACTGTCTAAAGTTGCTGTCCCTGAGGTTCATTTCTTTTTCGGATCCTTTGGTTAAACACTAATGTTACACTGTTCTCACATAATGGAACTATCTAAATTATGTAACAATGCATTGTAAAAAGTGATTGAAAAAGAGTAACCATGGAGTTTCTTGCTCGTTCTTCTCCATAGGAATCTACACTTTGGAACGAGCAAATAGCTTCACTAGAGGACAGACGGACAGACTGACACATATAAAGTTAAACCTTATGATATCTTTTTTGCTTGACGTTCAAAAGTGCCTTTTTTTGGTCTATTTGAAATAAAGAATTTGATTGATTGATTGATTGATTGATAAGTAAATAAAAAAATCCTTTTAAAATGTATCATAATGGCGGGAAATTTTTACAAATGCGCGCGTATTGGCCATAGGCAAAAAAATTATGTATTTTCTTGGGCTTTTCGCCCAACCAATAATAAAAAAAAAACTCTATTACTCACTTGTGAATAATAGTAATTAAAAATTCACAGTTAGATTATAGGTGTTGTGGCGACTGTACATTATGCAGACTGTACAGCGCTATCACTTATTTAATACAATATGTTGTTTAATACTCCTAGCGCCATCTATTAGAGCGCTGGAACAAGTGAGAGAGTGAGTGTGTTATCTAGTTATCTCATTCAGTCACTATTTAAATATTCATTCTCTGGAGTACTCACTTGCTCTCCCAGTTGCTCCCCGCTCGCTCTACTGTGAGGTTCGAATTCCATGTTCTTCGGCCAAGTTTTGTTATATTAAATATTGTGCCTAGCAACCACTGTATTAAAGAATAAAGTGTAAGGTATATTGTGTAACTATAACCGTGGAGATTTAATATACATATAGAACCTCTCTTATTTCTCCGCCACCATCGGTTCCAATACCTACAGCGTCATTACGTGCCTAATTGCCGTGGGATTAGAGCCACTTTATGAGGAAGTGTGTTGAAAAGTTTATTTTTCAAATATAGGTAATGTGTACGATGGATGTCGCTACATTATTTTATGCTCCTAGGTACCAAGTCTCCCATGGTGCTGGTGGTGGGCGAGGAGATGGATGACGAGGTTAACAGCGCATGCGGCTCCGCTGTTCACGCATACTCGGATATACATACTATGTCTCATGGTAAATATTACATATATTATACGCGGTTGCAACCGCTGCTCGGCTCCATTTAATCGTAGCGTGATATTTTATAGCCTATGGTACTCGGGAACATTGTAGCTATCTATCAATGAAAGAATTTTTGAAATCCGACCAGCGGTTACAAAGATTACCCCCTACATACAAACTTACAAATTTTACCTCTTTATAATATTAGTATAGATATATAGTACTAGCTACTCACCCGCGGTTTCAACCGCTGTTCTGGTCCTACAGACCGTAGCGTGATGTTATAGACTTTCTTGATAAATGGACTAACAAACACAAAAATAATTGTTAAATTCCAACCAGTAGTTCCGAAGATTAGCGCGTTCAACCAAACAAACTCTTCAGCTTTATAATAATAATAATAATTAGTATATGTGAAAGAAAATGTAGTATATGCGTCATAACCACATAATTCCTAACAGGTACAACGGCTTTAGAAGAAATTATGGCGGAGAAAAAGGAGGCTGGCAACTCTGACGTGCTACCTCCTAAGGTGGCCATCATGAAACCAATTCTTCGATTCTTGCAGTTGCTTTGTGAGAACCACAATCCGGATTTACAGGTAATATTTACACCTTTATTTTTGGTAACGGGGGTAAACCTTGAGAAGGTGCCTAGCTTTTGGGGAAAAAGACTAGAGAGTGTGATACTAAAACGTCCCCGGTGGCCACCATCATCACATATAAGGGACACCGGGACCTCTTGATAGACCAACTCGAGAGTCCCTTTGGTGCAACGCCTGTTATGGCACATCTCTATCGAGAGGTACCTGACCTCTTTAAGTCTCACTACATCTACTTTTAATTTACATCTAGTACCAAAATAATTGAATTTATGCCTGGTGCCAATCTCCTACGGTTAGTTAACAATACGTTTACAGGAGACGAAAAATCCTTCGAAAAGTCATTGTTGGGAGGCTGACTACTGTCACTACTTTTTGAATTACGGCTTCTTAATAGCTATCTGAAATCTATATCATGATCAAATGTTAGATGCGAAATAAACAGCTTCATCTAAAATTTATTATAAAAATGCGAAAACCGTCAGTTTCTCAATTGATCGGATGGTAAACGAATTACCTGATGGTAAGCAATCAGCGCCGCCCATGGATACAACGCAACAACAGAAATGTTCCGAGTGCGTTGCCTACCTTTTGGGGATCAGGGATCTGAAGATTTTGGGATTGAGGAGGGATTGGTCCTCTGATAACCTCACTCACACGGCAAAACACAACACCATAGTGTTTCACCGCCGGTTTTCTGTGAGGCCGTGGTGTCTTTCTGGTCCAGCCTACCCATTCGAACCGAAGCTATGCTCTCTCACATTTAGTAAAATATATAATACACTCTATTTTCAGAATTTACTCCGCAATCAAAACAACAAATCTAACTATAACCTCGTGTCGGAGACCCTTATGTTCCTGGACTGTATCTGTGGGTCCACCACTGGAGGTCTAGGCCTGCTGGGTCTATACATCAACGAGGGTAATGTCGCTCTCATCAACCAGACCTTGGAGACACTCACTGAGTACTGTCAAGGTGAGTAATGATTTTTATTCCACGAGTTCCTTACCGGCCTTTTGGGGATAAGGGTTTTGGATATTTTCGGATTTTTTCGCAACCGCGGTGATTAATGCTCAAAACATTCTCAGTGTTGGAAGAGGCTTTTGTTCAGCAGTGGGCACTTATATGTTGATGAATATTGGGTAAAATAATTGCCAGCTATCCAGTTCTGTTAGTACCTACATACTTGGCAACTACATACTGGCGACACGAGTCTGTGTTCTCTACTACATTATATATTACTAGCTTTCCGTCCGCGGCTTCACCCGCGTGGAATTCGGTTCTATAACCGAATTCCACGCGGAAGTAATATAACATTAGTAAGGATTTAACTTCTAAGTTTATATGTGTATATTCTTTTGCAACATGGTACCTTGTTTTAAACGGCACACAGCGCCATCTATCGCCGAACTGGTATGAAGCTAACAATATTTTAGTTTTCCCTAAGGAATATTTATAAATTCCGGGATAAAAAGAACCTTATTATTTAATCCGGACTTCTAACTTTGAGTTTGCAAAATTTCAAAGCAATCGGTTCAGTAGTTACAGTGTGAAAGCGGAACAAACTCACAAAGTTACTTTCTATTTATAATATTATTAAAGATTTATTATGAAAATTTAGCTTGTTATAAAAAATAATAATACGGTAGTTTTCAACTAGTCAAATTCAATACTTTTATCCAAATGTCAAAAACGATTCTTTTCTATAAAATTTGTATGAAGTTGAGTTATGACGTCATAGCGTTTTAGCGTCATATACTTACTTATTTCTTCAACATTAGTTAATAAATATCCAAAATTTTGTGTATCGGTCGATTAATGAAAAAAGTATAGTTACTTTTCAATATTTTTTTTTTGAAACTACCCATATAGTATCTATCTCTTCCAGGTCCATGTCACGAGAATCAAAACTGTATAGCGACGCACGAAAGTAACGGTCTGGACATTATAACCGCTTTAATTCTCAATGATATCAATCCGCTCGGCAAGACACGTATGGATCTAGTCTTAGAGCTGAAGAACAACGCCTCTAAGCTGCTCCTGGCCATTATGGAGTCGCGGAACGATTCAGAGAATAATGCTGAACGTATACTCTATAACATGAACCCCAAGCAATTGGTAAGTAAATTATTGTTTTATGGTGTAGGTTGACAATTCACCACCAGACAGCTAATGGCTGATGGCAAGCAAACATCGCCCATCGATACCTCCGACATCGAGGAGTTTCAAGCTTGCTTCTACGCTAGGTTTCAAAACTACTATTCTTTATCTTAGAACTATGTATAACTTATAAGAAATTTTATAAAACCATAGCAATTTATTACAAATAAGCTTTTGACAGCACGGTTGGCGCGGTGGCTGGGCAACTGGCTGCCGTGCAACGAATCACGGCTTAGATTTCCACATGGGACAATACTGTGTGATCCACAAATTGATGTTTCGGGTCTGGGTGGCTTTTATATGTGAATTTGTATGTTTATAAACGCACTTTCGACTCAGAAGAAAATCCTAATGTAGGTCAATGTTTTATTATGAAAACTGCGAATAAACCTACAATAGATTAAAATAAGGATTTAACATCGTTTATGTATGTCACAGGTGGATGTTGCTTGTTCCGCTTACCATCAGGAGCACGCAATGGACGCTGACTCCGATTCAGAAGATGACGCCATCGTCCAAGGAGTATCTCCTAAGGAAGTAAGTAATTTTACACATCTCTGTCTAAATGTTATCGGGGACAATTTGTGGTTTTAAAATATATAGACCCTCAGCTTGGATCCGTCATTAGACTACCTGCACTATCCACCCTACGCTACATTCCCTTCTATACCTACCTACCCTCCTCCACCTACCCTACCCTACCTACCCTACCCTACCCACCCTGCCCTACCCACCCTACCCTACCTACCCTACCCTACCTACCCTACCCTACCTACCCGAACCTACCTACCCGACCCTACCTACCCGACCCTACCTACCCTACCCTACCCTACCTACCCTACCCTACCTACCCTACCCTACCTACCCTACCCTACCCTACCTACCCTACCCTACCTACCCTACCCTACCTACCCTACCCTACCTACCCTACCCTGCCTACCCTACCCTCCCTACCCTACCCTACCCTCCCTACCCTACCCTACCCTACCCTACCCTACCTACCCTACCCTACCCTACCTACCCTACCCTACCTACCCTACTCTACCTACCCTACCCTACCTACCCTACCCTACCTACCCTACCCACCCTACCCTACCTACCCTACCCTACCTACCCTACCCTACCTACCCTACCCTACCTACCCTACCCTACCTACCCTACCCTACCTACCCTACCCTACCCTACCTACCCTACCCTACCTACCCTACCTACCTTACCCTACCTACCCTACCCTACCTACCCTACCTACCTACCCTACCCTACCTACCCTACCCTACCTACCCTACCCTACCTACCCTACCCTAACTACCCTACCCTAACTACCCTACCCTACCTATTTTACCCTATTCTATGTTCTTCGCGATATCGCGGCTTCGATTTGCGCACGGAACAACTCTGTCTGATCCACAAATTATTATCATTTCTGGGTGTGCAGTGTATGTGAATTTGTTCAAAAAAAAAGAATTCTCAACCTCTTAATTTCGATTGGTTTCATTCAATTACTGTTTTCGTGTATTTGTGGCCGTTTTTGTACCTCTAGCTAGATTAATTACAAAGAAGTAATTAATAACATTGTGACTAGGTGGGGCACAACATCTACATCCTATGCCACCAGCTCGCAGCGCACAACAAAGAGCTGGCGGCGCTTGTGCGAGCTTCCCCGCATGGCGCTAATGCTGACGCCTTGCGCTACTACAGGACACACACCGCGCAAATTGAAGTAAATCACCCTTATATTTTTCTGCTTTTCTACGTTTCTTGCCTTGTGTTTGTTTTCACAGCGCAATCAATAGTTTTTTTGTTTCTTGCTAATAATAATAAAAGAAAATAGCGTAGGACCCAATAAATGGCCCTGAGGAACGCCTTTCATCTTTTAATCAAAAACATAAATTTGGATTTTAATCAAGGAAGGTGTTAGTAAATGGGTATATTATTTTTAAAGAATCCGACTACAAATTTCACAGAATAACCGATTAGTCGGTTGTAAAAAGACCGACTAACCAGCCAGACCTTGTTTGTAGCTTTTTTATTGCAATTTCGTAGTTAATACCAAATTTCACAGAAAAGAATATTAATTTTATGTTAGCATTAAACATAATTAGTTTCACTAAGGAAATAGCTGTCTAGGCTCTACTATTTTTAATAATAAATTGACTTGTTCATCTATTCAACAATAAAATTATCTACTTAAATTATTAGTGAGCTTTGCTTAATCAACTGCTGGATTAGTCAGTTTGTATTAATTAATATATTTCACTTTATTTTTAACACTCTATTGTAATCTATTTTATGTCATGTTACTATAGCACAATGCCACTGAAACAATACGGTAGTTTCCAACTAGTCAAATTCAATACTTTTATCCAAATGTAAAAAACGACAATTCTATGAAATTTGTATGAAATACTGAGTTATGAAGTCATTGTATTTTTGCGCCAATAGATCTTCTTATTTCTCAAAAATTGGCTAGAAAGTAACATTAAGTGTATCAATCGATCGATGAATGAAAGTATAATTATTTTTGAATATTTTATTGTAGTGAAACATCGAATTAATTTATTGTTGACCTAGGAAACTACCCAATTGTTGGCGTAAATAAACAAAAAAAAACATAATTTATCTTTCTCGATTCTTCGACAGATAGTCCGTACGGATCGCAGTATGGAACAGATAGTATTTCCTATACCGGAGATATGTGAGTACCTACCAGCGGATAGTAAGCACCGCGTCTTGCAAAGTGCCGAGCGGGATGACCAGGGTAGCAAGGTCGCTGACTTCTTCTCAAGGCTTGATAATCTATTCCACGAGATGAAATGGCAGAAGAAACTTAGAGGTAAGTGTAGAATAGAAGTTATTATTATTTAAGCCCGGTTTTTTTAAATTATGGCGAATCGTTTAATGTAGAAAAAAAAAGAAAAGACTCAAAAGCCAAGAGTAGACTGTAAAAAGTTTTTTTTTTATGTGATAGGACGGCAAACGAGCAGACGGATTACCTGATGGTAAGCAATCGGCGTCGCCCATGGACACCCGCAGCAAAGAAGGAGTTACGAGTGCGTTGCCGACCTTTTAAGGATTGGGATTTTGGGGATTCAGGGATTGGGAAGGGATTGGGGTAGGGGAAGGATTGGGCCTCCGGTCACCTCACTCACACGGCGAAACACGACGTTGTGGTTGTTTCACGCCGGTTTTCTGTGAGACCGTGGTATCACTCCGGTCGAGCCGACCTATTCGTGCCGAAGCATGGCTCTCCCACAGTTTGTTGACTATTGCTTAACAGCAACGTTTTTATGGCTTAGAGCGGTAAACGAGCAGACTGATTCGTTCGTTTCAATCGTACATTCTTGTCAGAGTGGTCGTGGTCATGGTATGTCCTTGGTGGCTGCAGACTGATTACCTGATGGTAAGCAATCAGCGCCGCCCATAGACACCCGAAACGCCAAAGGAGTTACGGGTGCGTTACCGGCCTTTTAGGGATAAGGGTTTTGGATATTTAATGATTGGGAAAGGATGGGGGGAGGGGGAGGGATTAACCCTCCGGTAGCCCCACTCACACTTAAAAACACAACGCTGTGGTTGTTCCACGCTCGCTTTATATTAAATTTTCGTTACAATACCGTGTTTTTTTTTTGTTTACAGGGCAAAGATTCCTTTTCTGGGTTTCATCCTACATGTCTCTGTGGAGCAACATACTGTTTAACTTCGCGGTTCTAATCAACGTCATTGTTGCTTTTTTCTATCCGTTCCAAGAAGACACACCAAGTAAGATTTTTATATATCCTACATATATTATGATGTGGAAGAAAGTTTGTGAGAATGTATGGATGTATGTTACTCTTTCATACAAAAGCTTCTAAACCGATTTGGTATGTAAATATGTGATATCCTGGATTTTTTTAACCCATATGCTGCTTTTAATACCGGCAGGCAAGAGGTTAATCTACATACCACGTGGGCAAATACGCGGGCGAAAGCTAGTCTATCTTACTTCTTATTAAATATTATAAATGCGAAAGTTACGATGTTTGGATGTTTGTTACTCAATCACGCCAAAACGGCTGGAAGCATCTGGTTGAAATTTGGCACAGGCATAGGATACACTCCGGAATAGGACATAGGCTAGTTTTTATCAACATACCACGCGGATGAAGAAGCTTGAATTATAATATACAATTGGAGTATGACCGTGGCGGTTTATCCCCAGAGCTGGGCGAGCACCTGTCGCTGGTGGTGTGGGTGGTGTCGGGTATCGCGGGTGCGCTGGTGACGTGGTTGCCGCGCGGGGGCGGAGCCCGAGCTTTGATCGCGAGCGCCGCCGTGCGCTTCATGTATTCAGCGGGACCCGAGCCCACTCTCTGGATGCTCGCTATGCTCACTGTAACTATAACTTCTCTTTTTTATGTTATTATTCGGCAAACGAACAGATGGATTACCTGATGGTAAGCTGTATGATGGACGCGATGGCTAGGCAAACTGTACGATTCCCGCACGAAACAACTCTTTGTGTGTACATGAAATTGTATGTTTGTAAACACATCCACGACATTAGGAAAACCCTAGCTATTCCTTTTTTAAAGCAATCAGCATTACCGGTAGGCATTCGTAATACCAAAGGTGTTACTACAAGTGTGTTGCCGGGCCTCTTTAAGTTTTTCTTTCGGTTTCAAGGTTTCTCGGTTTTCAAGATTTTAAGGATATAGGGCATTTGAGGATTAATGAAAATGGGGGGAAATGGGGGAGGAGGGAGATATGCCCCTACCTCTTCCCCTCTTTTTGAACTCATGTTCTAATAACAAATTAACTTATTTTACAAGTTATGTTAGACCCAATTTGTGATAAAAACATGTTTTCTAGCAAAAATATAGACCATTTTAAAATGTATTATTACGTCATAGTAATGAGTTGGTAAATAATCAATTACTTAAACTAATTAATAAGATATTTTAAAACATCAATATTTTATCATGAGGGTGTGGATTCGAAACCTGGCAAGTACCAATGTGACTTTTTCCGAGTTATATGTACTTTCTATGATTATATAGACATCACTGACATACGGTGAAGGAAAACATCGTGAGGAAACCTGGACTTATAATTTCTAATTATAAGTTTGAAATCGCCAACTCGCATTGAGCAAGCGTGGTGATTAATGCTCTAACCTTCTCCGTATGAGAAGAGGTCTTTGCTCAGTAGTGCGCACTTATAGGCTGATGATGAACCATTTTATCATCATCAATTTTAAATCTGATGATGATAAATTTGTACACCAAATATTATTGTATTTTCTTTATAGGTTTTATTTCTGCATTTTGCATGTCTTTTTGGAGGTTGTTTTAATAATTTTACCCGGTTTTCAGATAGTGGTGAAAGGTATCCACTTGGTGAGTATTATGGGTAACCAGGGTACACTATCAAAGTCGCCAGGGAAGGTGCTCACGGACCCTGAACTGCTGTACCATAGCGTATACCTTGTTTTCTGCTTCTGCGGAATATGTTGGCACCCATTCTTCTTTTCTGTTCTGGTGAGTTAATACTTCTATTAATGACTAGCTATTCACCCGCTGTTCAGCTCCATTTGATGTTTTATAGCCCTCAGGAATATTGTAGCTATCTATCAGTAAAAGAATTTTGGCAATCCGACCAGCAGTTTCAAAGATTACCCCCTACATACAAACTTACAAATTTTACCTCTTTATAATATTAGTACAGATGAATTTTATTTTGTCAGTGAAATTATTAAAGGGACTATCGACCTCAATTGCAGGTGATCCGTATGGTCGTTTGCATTTCTATACCATAAAATAATATATGTGACCTCGGGTTCGAATCTTGAGACGTTCAAAATTAAATAATTGAGTTTTACGATAAAAATATAATTACTAGCGGTCTGCCCCTGCTTCGCACGATTATTGAACTATAATCTCTTCATGATTTTCCTTTTCTAAAAATTGTATAAAATCTTGTTGCATAAGGACCTTCTCCTGACTATAAGAAATACAAAACAGAATAATTGGTCTAATTGGTCCAGGCTTTGTTGAGATATGCGCTTATCAACGCATTTAGCGATTCATTTTTAGCTTAAAATATTATTCAATAAATTACTCGAATGAAACAGATACAAATTACGAATATCTTTAATTCTTCTATTTTCGAATTCTCTTATTTTTAATTAATTCATTTTAACTTGTATAAATTAGTCATTATATAAATTATTGTCTTTGCCTATAAACCGATTTCTGTGCAATTTGGTACAGACATAGTTTGGAACTCGAGAAAGGACATACCAAAAATCTGCAGTAAGCTATTCCACGCGAACTGAGTCGCGGGCAAAACCTACTTATATATCATGTTGTAAATAAAAAACGAACGCGAAAGTTAAAAAGTTAGTACATATATGATTGTTTGTCCACAGCTGCTAGACATAGTTTACCGCGAAGAGACTCTCTTGAACGTAATGCGATCTGTGACTCGCAACGGCCGGTCCATCTTACTGACGGCGGTGCTGGCGCTTGTCCTTGTCTACATGTTCTCCATCGTAGGCTACATGTTCTTCCGAGACCATTTCCTTGTCGCTGTCGACAGGCTGGACGGTGAGCATTACCATTAATTGCACGGTTGGTGCGGTGGCTGGGTAACTGGCTGCCGTGCAACGTGTCGCGGGTTCCACAAATTGTTGTTTCGGGTCTGGATCACGACAGGAGAAAATCCTAGTGTAGGGCAAAGTTTTAGAAAAAAATTAGCAGAAATATATTAAAGTGGTCAAAATTCTAGAAATACAATTTTTAAATATCTCCATCCCTTAGATATGAGAGATGGAAAATATATTGTTTGTTTTTTCAATTTATGTGCTTTTAACTTTGATAGTGGTGGTATTTATGTATACTTCTACGTAGTATATAACAGTACGGATAAACATACTGTACAATCAATGAAACGATGCACTTGACTCTATATTTATTAGTAGTAAAAGTTACAAACGTGCGCTCGGTGAGTGCTTGAAGTTGACACTGTCCGCAAATGAACCAAATTACAATATTATTGGCCGATATGCCTCATAAACCACACATACGAACTAATATTAAAAATGCGAAAGTAATTCTGTTTGTCTGTTTAGGCTACTGAATTAATTAGTGTGAAATTTGGTACAGAAATGTGTAGTTTGGAACTTGAGAAGGAACATAATAATAAGATAGTTTTTATTATTACAAAAAATTAAAATATGTATCGAGTGAGGTGATGGAAGTTAAACTATTAATATGCTTAATGTGGTTCAGACGATGACGACCCGCGGTTCGAGGTGGACGGGTGCTCGGGCGGCGACAAGTACGCGGGCCCCGCGGCGCAGTGCGGGCGCGGCGCGCGCCTCGTGGCCGTGGGCGGCGAGCTGCGCGAGCGCAGCTGCGACTCGCTCATCATGTGCATCGTCACCACGCTCAACCAGGGGCTGCGCAACGGCGGCGGCATCGGGGACATCTTGCGCGCGCCTGCTAGCTTCGTTAGTCACTCGCAATTCTGTCAAACTATCTTTATTGTGCTTTTTTTTATTACACGAATAAGCACCAGATCACACCTGAACTGCCACCAGTTTCTATAGTAGTCCGTCCACCTTAAGGTTGCCTGGTAGTTTTTAGATAAGGCCGTCTTGGTACCCTGTACTACAAAAATGTTTGTATACGCATGTCACAATCTTCTTCGGCGTACAACAAAGATTATTTATTATTATTAAATTTGTCTTTACCAATCACGGGACCACAGGGTCCTGGTCATTTGGAAGGCGAACGAGGGGCCGGAGCCAACTGCACAGAGGTCGATAATTCCTCCCTGGAGTAATCGACATGATGGTAGCCCTCGCCTCAAGGTTGCTGCGGACTCATTATTATTATTATTGTCAATGTGACCAATGCCTTCTCCATGTAATGTCCAGGAGCCGCTGTTCGTAGCGCGTGTGGTGTACGACCTGCTATTCTTCTTTGTGGTCATCATCATCGTTCTGAACCTCATCTTCGGTGTCATTATCGACACCTTCGCAGACCTCAGGAGTGAGAAGCAACAGAAGGAACTAATTCTGAAAAACACCTGTTTCATTTGCGGTTAGTATTTAATGTTTTATCTAACTTTTTTATATTCGGTACATAGGTCCATTACAATAACAATACAAAATTTTCCGCGGTGTTTGGTGACTGGGCTTCTCCCAGTTATACAGTCTCTTCTGGGCCTTTAAAGCTTAAGTTATTGTGTCTCCTGCTTTAAATTTACCGAGGGAAGTGGAAACCACGTCATGCACAAAGGTCTAGCTGAAAACCAGCGTCAGGCCCAAGTGGTCTGGCATTTATGCTGAACTGGACCTGTTTGGCGCAGCCGTGAGGCACACAGTTATGTAGTTTTTCTTTATTTTTTCTTTTATATTAAATAACCTTTTTGTTACTATGTCTGTGTGCACATGGTTTGTGTCAATAAACTTTTTCTTTCTTTCTATTTAGTTTTTTCTTCGCCACAAATAATATCTTCTGATTTATTTCGTTGCGGGATCCAAGACAGTCAATCATGTCCCTGAGACGTACTGTAGATCCTGGCTTACAGGAGTTGCAGTGGTTTTGGGAGGTAGCCGGGCGGACTTGTCTCATATAAAAGAATTGGTACATTGGTAATAAGATATCGACTTTTCCACAACACATGTAGGTCTTAAGTCAAGCCCGTGCGCGATTCTCAATGCCAAATTCAGTAACCTCCATGTCCCTCATCCCTCACACATCATCAGCCTATAAGTGCCCACTACTGAGCCAAGCACTTCTCATACGGAGAAGCTTTGAGCATTAATCAGAACATGCTCAATGCGGATTGGCACTTATAATTAGAAATACAAAATACTTTACAAAAAAAATTGGGAATAGCGACAAAATTCAATATTTATTTTTACCAAAAACTTTGTTAAACAGGTTTGAACAGGTCAGCCTTTGACAACAAGACAGTCTCCTTCGAGGAACACATAAAGAGCGAGCACAATATGTGGCACTATCTCTACTTCATGGTGCTGGTTCGAGTCAAAGACCCGACGGAGTTCACCGGCCCCGAGAGTTATGTGCATTCTATGATAAAGGTATGTTGCTCGGGCTAGTTTTTTATATATAGATCGGCAAACGAGCAGACGGATTACCTGATGGTAAGCAATCAGCGCCGCCCGTGGAGAAACGCAACACCGAAGGAGTTATGAGTGCATTACCAGCCTTTTGGGGATAATTGTTGCGGATATTAAAGGATTGGATGGGATTGAGCCTACGGTGATCTCACTACCACGACGAAACACAACGCTGTAGTTGTTTCACGCCGGTTTTCTGTGAGGCCTGAACAACTTAGGTTTTTTTTTTATAATAATAACCTCAAAATACGTATTACTTGAATCGGTGAACTAATTCTAATGTATGCATTTTAGACTGAGAGAAGACTTAGGGTGTAATTATAGTGGATCTGGCGCTAAGAAAATCGCTAGAAGCCAAGGGTGTGAAAAGCGTACTCAAACCCGTTTGACTTGAGATGAGACGACAGCTTAAAGATCTGCTGAGACAAACTCAGTGACAGATGTCGCATCGACCTTCTTACTTTAAAATGAAACGTGTTTTTGTTCTCAGACAAGTAATTTAGACTGGTTTCCACGTCTCCGAGCTCTGTCGCTGATGGGAGGGGGTGAGGGCGAGGGAGGCGAGCTGGAACTCCGCGCGCTGCAGGCACAGCTGGACCGCGCGCAGCTCGCCGTGCACACCCTCACGGACCTCCTCACCGACCTCCGGGACCAGGTCACGGCCTTCTCTTTACCTTACCCTTACGTATACATACTGTTCCCCTTGTGCTGAGGCAAGTCGGCTCACCCAGCCTTTTAGCTGATGATACTACACAATATAAGCTGTTCTTGTGGGTTTTCGAATGCTTTGACAACTTCGAGCTTCGTGACCCATTTTGGTTCGGTGATACAAAGCAAGTAGGAAGAGTCCAATTACAAAAGTTTTCCTCTGGTTTACGTTTGAGTGCACACTGCAAGCTGGCCTTAGTTTCTCTTCTCACACGGAGAAGGTTTGAGCATTAATCAAATCGCTTGCTTAAGGCGGGTTTCGTTCATAGTGCTTGAATAGTGTCTAAATAATCATAGAAGGTACATATGACTCAGAAAAAGCCACATTGGTAGTTGCCAGGTTCGAAATGGCGACCTCATGCATGAGAAGCGGAAGCCTTAAATTTTAATATTTCTTTTGCACATACATCTATGTACAAGGTGGACTTAATGCCACAGGCAGTCTGCCAGTCGAACCTTTGAGTGATGTAGACAGGAATTAATAGTTGGCTCAAGAAGCAAGCAAAATTGAGATATTACTGATATTATATACTTTATACACTTACTTATTTTTTTTACCTTCTTCTTACCTGATGGTAAGCAATCAGCGCCACCCATGGATACCCGCAAGAGAGGAGTTACGAGTGCGATACCGACCATTGGGGAGGGGAAGGATTGGGCCTCTGGTAACCTCACTCACACGGCGAAACACAACGCTACGGTTGTTTCAAGCCAGTTTTCTGTGAGGCCGTGGTATCACGCCGGTTGAGCTGACTCATTCGTGCCGAAGTATGGTTCTCCCACACTGATAAATACTATTTAAAATATATATCTGAAATAAACTTCCATATGATATTTACACGCACTGCTGATGTAGGTATAATATTAAAGCTGATGTTTGTATTAGATTATTAATTATTGCTTCTTCCCCACAGATGACAGAGCAACGCAAGCAGAAGCAACGTATCGGCTTACTAAACTCAACCTCGGCGTATTTACAGAACTTGCAAATGAACTTACCGCCGTAAACAACACGCCATAAACAACACGCCAACACTTACCCGTGCCAATAACCACGTATTTTATATCCATTTTAAACCTTAAGTCATTTGTTTTAACGGTTAAATTTCAGTACACACACTGTAGAAAACAGAAAAACTAATAAAGTAAGGTATTTTTCTAAATTGAACCTTATAGTTAAAACAATTTTTAAGATTATAATACCTTCTTTTTTCAGTTAAGCCTCTTTTCTATTAAGTAAATTAATTATAAAAATATATTAGACAATATTCTCTCCCAGGTGACCGATTTTAAACTGTGTTTATTACACACCAAAATTACATAAACCAGTGCCGGTATACATAACTACGTGTAGTTATAATAATTAGAAAGACACGGGTATCAAACGTTAATATATGCCTCCAAAAAGTCGACGCTGCACAATCATTGATGGTTGATATGTTTTTCAAAGAAAATTAGAACAAATATTTTTATTTATATAATTATGTGACTTTAGATTTCTTTTGACAGACTGAAGTTGATACAGTAATATTAAAAGAAAGGCGTGTCACATATTGATAGTGTGATTTATATTTTATTTCATAAAATGACTAGTATATTAAATATTAAAATCGCCATTGAAATATAACTTGATTTATTAGTTCGTAAGTAGCGGACGTCAGTGTAGGGAAGTTTGAAAGTTTTTCCGCGATGCTGTATCTCTTACTGATTTCAAACGTTCGGTCGTTTTAATAGTAAAATATCTATTCCTGTGTTATCTTGATCATATCTATTTTATGTAGATAAATGTATTAGAAAAAAATATTGATTTAAAGGATTTTTAACTGAACGTCGCCGGAATACGGTTGTAAATTACATGTTGACCGATATACTTATTATAGTTAATAAAAGTGCAAGTACTGTTGGGTATTACCGTAGTAATATGATTATAAATTGAAGTTGTGGAGTCGAGACAGAAAAAAGACTTCTCGTCTTTAAATCGACCTATGTAAAAGGTTTTTAATTATTTTTAGACATTAAAAAAACATCTGAATTTTTCTGTAAGTACGTGAAATACGTATATACCCAAAGATGGAATAAAAGTCGTGTTTATAAAAAAAAGAATAAACCTACTATTTCCAATATCCAAATCCATATTATTAATTGTGTAGTACTTGCACTAAAAAACAAAATAAAACGTTAAAATCATTTTGACTACTTAATTTGTAGGTAGTTTATGAATTTTATAAAACATATCTTGTTATGATATTTGACTAGTTAAGGTAGGATAGCGTGTTCTATGCCCGGTTATGGTAAAACAAAATTCGTTGTGCATTAGTAATTAGAATAATTATTTTACTTATGTAACGCGTGACAAATTTCAATTTGTTTAATTGTGTAGTATATATTCTAGTATATTTAATAAAAATATATATATTGATTGTTATAATATGATGTTTGAGTTAACCGGATCTATAAACAACATTTATATGTTGATAAACTCTCTGAAGTATCATAAGTGGAAGTCCATTCAAATGTGCTTAAACAATTCTTTTGCAAAATCACACCATTATCAGCGAAGCCGTTTAGCAGATAAGATAAATATAATATGTAGAAATTTTATTATTTTTACAAATCCTTAACCATGACCGGGCGATTTCTCTGAGCAATCGATTCGAATTTTGTTCTTTTTTTAAGTTTAATTAGTTTTTTAAACAAATAGACAAATAAAAAGTTTTGTTCAAAGTTAAACTTAAACAATCTAAATTTAAAACTAACGCGGGAGTCTGCCTTTTTATATATCTTTCAGGTTTTCAAAATATATTTTTTCTATATTCTTTTTTCACTGCAATCTATTATATTTCATTATTATTATTTTTTAAATTAATTATTTCCTAATATAATTCTCTGACGTTAATTATTTAAAGTAATTTTTGTTTTGAGAATTATATCATTATATGCTTTTATTTTTAATGGCTTTGCTTCCTCCAGTTTGAATATTTGGATGTGCAATAAAGATTGCCTACAAAATCGTTATCAAATTTTTATTTTGATTTTAATAATATGGACGGGAAACAATGTGACATTTTGGAAACTTGAGTTTCAAAATATATTCTTATAAAAACAAGCATATCTTAAGACCCGCTGTATGTGATTTTTGCTATGAAGATACGGGATCACGCTCACAGCGGTGACAAATATTCATTCAATTTTCATTCACGAACAGTTTCAGTGAGCGCATAGTTAGTGACATTACCAAAAGTCACAGTTATAGAAAGTCGCAATGAGCTGTAGTTCTAAAGTATCCAATTTGGTAGTTTCCTAGGTCAATTTTTAAAATGTTGACATTACAGTAAAATGGATTATCAAAACATAACGATACTTTCGTTCATTAATTTGCCGATATAAGTGGTTTTAGCTTATTTTTCAGAAATAAAGATCGGATTTGACTAATACGGAACTATCTGATTCTTTATAAAAAGAAATAACGATTCCAATATTAAAAGTTTTATAGAAATCATTCCTCATTCTTTGGATTCTCAAATACTTAGATACTTATTTATTCGAAATCAAATGATCTATACCTATTTAGTGCTCCAAAATCTCAATACAAAAGGAAAGTCTTGAAGAGATCTAATTTTATTTATTTTGTTGTCTTTGTGTAGTTGGTAACGTTTTATATATACGGATATTGTAAGATTGGTGATTATTTGTTATACATTATTACGTAACTTTAGCCTTCGTAAGTGTACAAAAGTCTTAGTTAAAACTGATCTTTCCATCCTATTTGATAAACTTTAATTGCGCTAAAATTTGCGCAATGGTTTCTCGTTGCGCAAAGTTTGCGCAAAACTAGTGAATACTTACGTTTTTGGCGATGAATATCATTGAATCGTGATTAATATTAAGCCGTTCAGTAATGGGGTAGGCAGCGATGCATTAAAAGCTCAATAAATATGCCAAATGTTATATTTGATATATCATTATAGTCTTTATAGATATCATAATACGGTAATTGACATAAAAGTCACAAAATTAAATAAACAATCGAGGTTTTTCTAGTGCGCAAATGTGTACGCCATTTTAATCTCAATTTTCTATTATGTATAGTGACTATTATTCTCTGAATCGTTATGTAAAGTGTTTCCTATATACTACTATAAAATATTCAAGTTTTAAAATATCCATATTTGGAAGATTATATATATAAGTATGTGAATTGATAGTTTGAAGAGTAATTATGTTAAACTGTTTTAAAGTTTCAAAAAATCTTGAAAAATGTTATTATACTTAACTAAAATTTACTATATTTAGAGAGATTTTCTATCGTTTATGTTTGTCCTTTTCACTTGGCTGTTTTATAGTTATGCTAGACGGAGATAGAATGATTTTTTAATTTTCTTTTTATGTATATTTTTTTAATATTGTTCACGTGGCGTATCTTTTATTACAACGTGCCATACAACCTATAGTGAGATAGCGTGAAGGTATGGTCGAGAATCATAATATTTTATATTGCCAAAACAGTTTGGCAAGGCACCCTATAGTTGTCCCTGTCACACCCGTTGTTATTGTGTGAGAGGGAGACAGCAAACAACCTAATTGGTTATCTCGACCTTGCTTTTTCGTTACATACATTTGTAATTTACATAATAAGGTTTCATTTCAACTCTATATAGTTTTTGTGATGTTTTTGAAATCTTTTAGAAACTGTTTTGCTTTTACGCTTTACTCAAAATCTTTTTATTTTAAATTTTATATTCAGTGTAACTGACTAGCTTGATCTATCAGTTGTTTAATATTCTATTGCTTTCATATCAAGAAGCTTTTAAATATATGTTTAAATATTAAGGCATTTTTTCTTTTATCTCTCGTTTCTGTTTTTTTTTTCTTATTATGTACAATAGGTAGAATTTAACGGGAAACCTTTGACCAAATCTCATAAAAGTAGTTAGTTTGAATATTTCTAGTAGAGGTGTATAATAATATTTTTTTAAATTGTCTATTAACATTTATTTTTTTATATTTATTGCACGAATACATTCCGAATGTATTTTTTTATATTTTGTTTTTGTTAGCTCTACTTGTTTTCCAATGTTACCAGAGAGCCTAGTGCGAGATTGCTTTATATATTAAAACACTATTTGTTTTTATGACGTTCGGAGCTCTAATTGGCCGGCTCCAAGTCAACCGACCAATCAGAGAGCTACAAGAAATAACGTTCCGTTCTCCTTAACTTGAAAAAAATTTGAACTATGCACTTTGTATTTTTGAATTTTGACATTATGTAAGCGGATGACTTTGCATACATTTGTGCATCATGAAAACTTAATCTTCTCTTCCTTGTAAAAGAATAATAATGTAATATTTAGTCGTTATCCGCATTGTTATACATTTTATTTTTCAGAGTTTTAATGGTGTAGATAATTATAAGCTCACATTAACTAATGTAGGAACTATGTATAAGAATTAGCGATTGACTCGATTCATTGTGATGCCTGCAATTTGCAATAACGTGTTTTTTGTTTTTTGAAAAATAAAGTTACGGCACAAAGTTCTTGTTGTGTTTTATTTATTTGTTAATATTCTATTGTAACTTTACTCTGAACGCTTCTCCCAAATACCCACTCGTAGCAACGCAGTCATTTTTTTTATGACTTAAGTCGGCAAACGAGCTGGCGGATTACCTGATGGTAAGCAATCGGCGCTGCCCATGGACACCCGCAACACCATAGCAGTTACGAGTGCGTTGCCGGCCTTTTGGGGATAAGAGTTGCGGATATAAGGATCGGCAAGGGATAGGGGAAGGGGCGGGATTGGGCCTCCGGTAACCTCACTCACACGGCGAAACACAACGCTGTGGTTGTTTTACGCCGGTATTCTGTGAGGCCGTGGTATCACTCCGGTCGAGCCGACCCATTCGTGCCGAAGCTTGGCTCTCCCACACTTCAACTGTACTGCGGCCTTGCCTTGAAACAGAAGAAGGGATGAGGTGGTTTTTAGTCAGTCAGTCTGACTGTGCCTCTCGCCCCCAGGTCGGGAGAAGTCATTTCAGGACTTTTCCCCCAATAATAAATCAGTAATTACAAATTATACAGGCCTACAAATTTATTCATTTATTAGAAAGCAAAGCATAATAATTTTTGCATTCTAATCCTACATAAATAA